GGGAAAGAGTTCACATCATGCAAGCTGTAGTAGCCAATTGCTGCTTTGGTATATGGAGGCGCGTCTTCATATTCCTTGAATTTCGTGGCATCGGCTCTGGCCAAGTCGGCCCTTTGTGCTTTGTTGAGTAATTTAGAGTTGTGATCGTATGCGATGTCCTGAGACCCATCGCCATGGTGAAGATCGAAGTCAAGGATCGCAGCGTGAGTGAGACCGTGGGTTGTTGCTGCGTGGGAAATTCCGACATGAACGTTGTTGATCCAGCAAAAGCCGGAAGGGAAGTCAGCCGAACAATGGTGGCCGGGAGGTCGAATGCAGACGAATGCGCGCTGGATTGGACCAGACTTGAAAACAAGATCCACTCCCTCGCAGACACCCCCCAGGGCTCCTTGGAAGGCATTCACAGACTCCGAGCATAAGTAGAGGTCGTTGGTATTCAGGGCGGGACCACTTGTCCCGAGGCCGTCGTCTTCTTCCGTCCGTTGCCTAGCAAGTTCGTTTCCGTCCATGATGAGTCGCGACTCTGCACGATCCCCCATCCATTTCAATTCCGACATCCACTGGGTCCCATGGACATCTGTAACAGCAGAATTAGACAGATGCACCTTGCGATCAGTCTTGATGATTTGGAAAGGGACATCAATCTCGTTCAAGCTGGAACTTAGCTTTGGTGCGAGATCTTCCGCATATCGAGAGCCGAGAAGAACATAAGCTGCTGAGATGCCCACAGCACAGGCGCGGATGCGCTCTGGTCTTTCGACAATTCTCTCGAGAGTTCGTTTTGACGCTTCAAGCTGGGAGTAACGATGGCCATAGCAGTCGTCGTGAACAATGACAGCAGTTTTAGTACTGACATCACCAGATTGGTGTAATGCAAGCTCTTTTGAGAAGTGCTCAGCGGCAACAGACGAAGCAGTCGGAATTGGAGCTGCTGGGGCCGGGCTAAAGACAAGGCGTGCAGGATGCATCGCGGGTGATGTTGCGGTGGCTTGAGACCCCACAGAGGTAAATGATGTGCGGCGTAAAGGGTCAGGAGTTGGCGAGGAAGATTTGAGAGGTTGCGAAACAGAACGAAGAGATGCAGTGGACTTGCGCTTTTGTAGTGGTGCAATTGACTTGCGTCGTTCCTCTCGAACAGAGACAGAACCGGGTGTTTGTGAGACAGATTGCACAGATTGCTTTGATTGTAAAGAGACAGTTTCAACCGATTGATCTGACTGTAAAGAGACAGGTCGAACAGGTTGGGTGGGCTGTAGAGGAATAGCAGGTACAGGTCGAGTAGGGGGAAGATAGGATGGAACAGGAGAGAGACGAGGGGATGAAGGCAATGGAGTCTCTGTCGCCAGAGTGAGGCGATTCAGAGAATCGACCAATTCAGAATGTGTCTCCTCGATATTGTTGTTGTTGACACCATTGTCTACGAATAGCGGCGGGCCCTCCTGAATGGAGGGGTGTTTGTATTCCATCTTGCAGATATCGACTCTGCTACAAAGGGCCAATACACGATGTTTCTTCTCATTCAATATGAAATTCAAAGTTGAAAGATGATAGGTCGTTCGTTGAATAGGCAAGGGGAAACAAAAGAAACAAAGAGACAAAGGAAGGGTGGGGATTCACATGCCCAGCTATTTGGGTTAAACCAAATCGGGTAAGGGTTCGGTTGATCACCAGACCATAGAACAACGACATGCGAACATTCTTTTGTTTCTACTTGTACTTTACCTCTATTGTATATATTGTATATATTGTTTATGTGGTTCATATTGCTTAGATATGTATGATTTCAATGATCTTCTTTAATCTCCTTTTGACTTGGTTCTTATTGTTTTAGTTAGATATTCTCTTTATTCATAGCTTTGGTAATAATCCACAACTTATGCTTCATGCTCTCTCTGCCTCTACTAGTTACCTCTACTAGACCCTCATCTCTAATATAAAATAGACAAAAATAAAAATAAAAAAAGAATTCAACAAAGAAAAGAATCGAATTCCATGCAGATCATCTAGATCATTGCATCCACGTTAGAACACCGTAAACCCGCAGATATCCATTTCCCCAAGATCGGAATCAAGACCCCGAATCCCCGAACACCAAAGCTGTAAAAAAAAAAAAAAAAAAAGACAAGATAGAGAATCGAGAAGTCAAATATAAATGTTGTCACTAACGCGACCGCAGACCCCGCCATTGATACCACTGATACCAACGGCGCCCGAAAGAATCCTTTTCACCAAGGGAATCTTCAGATCGGCGGCGCACCTTATGTTCCTTCTTGCGGGTCTCCTTCTCGGACTTGAAGCCACGCGTGGCATGTGAGTTGCAGAAGCAGTGCATATGCACGGTCTCGATACTGACGCCCGGGCAACCGTTCCGGCGGTGGGCGGCGCAGACGTTGTTGCCGGCATCTTCTTCACATTGGCACCATTCGTAGAGAGTGAAGTATTGGCGGCACATGATTGCTTTTGTTGTATGTTTTTTCTTCAAAGTGGTAGTTGCCGGTTGACTGTTGCGGGGTGTCCACGGGTACCCGCAGTGCGTTTTGGTAGTCGAATAGTGATAGTTGATGGACGATGGTATGGATTTCGTGGTAGTATCAGTACCAGAATGCGTCGATCAGAGTGAATGCGAGATGAAAATGATGATGGTGTCTTGGCAGGAAAATGAGGATGTCAAATGCCCAATATTGTACCGGAGTAGCAGTAGCTACTAAGCCTAATCGGAAAGTTCGGGAAATTATGTTCTGTAGCTGTAGCTGATGATGTCCAGATGGTCAGAGATTTGAAAGGCTTGTTCAGACCAGCTGAAATGAGAGGTGATGATATGGGGAGGAGATGAAGATGTTTAGGATCAGGAAAAAGAATTTGATATATAAAGGAGAGTATACAAGAAGCTCTTTAAGTTTGTTCTAGGCTGCCTCATGTAATGATGAGTAAATAGTCATTGACCGTGTCTATGAATGGAACCACGGCTATTGATTGGAGTTGACGTCAAAGAGATCTTTTTGATTATTTATGCCCCACAGATATTATTCTAATCATAATTATTCTAATCATATTATTACTCCGTAGGGGGCTGATACCTTGCCTAGACCTTACCCCATCCGTCGGCTGAGAGCTGCAGGTTACATTTGACACCAGGTCGTATTCTCGCCGAGGGCGCGATGGGACTTGGTACCACTATTTCTTTTGCCTTTGGAGAGGTATATAGTCTAGAATTATGTTAACCAGTTACTCAAAAGAAAACAAGGCGGTTATTGTCTTGTTTCAACAGGTCCAACAAAGGCAGTGCTAGAAATAAAATCATGCAGAAACATTAAAAATAGACATTAAAAATAGAGATCAAAATCCTGCATCAAAGGAGGTAGTTTGAAACTTGACAAATTTGATCAGCCAGTCAGCCCTGCCAGGTTGGGGTGAACTGGGGGGATCCGCCCATACCCGGCGCTCGGCAGGGGTCTCTTTTCCGAGCAAGCAGATTCGTGATTGGAGTAAAGGGTTGTCTGGCTTGCCGCCAGGATCTCGCATCGGGATGACCTGCCGGGTGACCTGTCTCGTCTAGCGCCGAAGAAAAAAAAAAAAAAAAAAATAGAGATTTCTTGAGTAAGTGGTAAATGGTAAATGGTAAATCGAGATAGATGATCTCACCATCGTCAAGGACGCAAACGGAAGTGAAATAAAGTATGAGGCGCAGGACCTGTGGCGGTGCATCAAGATCACGTGAGTCGGAATACCTTCCGAGGAAATTGGTGCCTAAGGCTCTAATGGAAAGTCCACCTTCTATCCATAACGAGCTCGGATTTAATTTACCTCAATTGATTGAACATATCATTACAATCTGTACCTAAACCCATACTGAATCCTAAAATTCCCAATACCAAGTTCTCAAAAAAAAAAGGAGCACACCACCTCAACCAATCAATCAATATCAACACAATCACCACAAACACCAACAACAACCCCACCCTACTTGAAATGACAACCAACACACCATCCGAGACTCCAACAATGACCCCAGCAACACCAGCACGTGCCAGTGCACTCCTCTCAAACCTAACAGCGGTGCGGGCGCGAGTGAGCACAGCCGTCCTCCAATCCCCAATTCCCAGCAAACCAATCCGACTCGTCGCGGTTTCCAAGCTCAAGCCCGCATCCGACGCACTGGCCCTACACCAAGCCCCAGGATCCCAACTCCACTTCGGCGAGAACTACCTTCAAGAACTACTCGAGAAATCGCGCTTGCTACCTGCAAGCATCAAATGGCATTTCATCGGCGGGCTGCAGAGCAACAAGTGCGTGACGCTTGCGCGGGACGTGCGCGGGCTGTGGGCTGTCGAGAGTGTGGACTCGGAGAAGAAGGCGAAGTTGCTAGATAAGGGCTGGGGTGAGAGGGATTCTGAGATGGCAGCTACGAATCATAATGAGGATGGGAGGTTGCGCATCTATGTTCAGATTAATACGTCTGGCGAGGAGAATAAGGCTGGTGTTGAGCCTGCTGGGGCGGCGGCTCTTTGTCGATATGTCCGTGAGCAGTGTCCCCGGCTTAAGTTGCAGGGTGTCATGACTATTGGGGCTATTGCGAGATCGCAGATGACCACGGTAGAGAATGAGAATGAGGATTTTGTTTGTTTGAAGGAGACGAGGGATCGAGTTGTTAAGGAGCTTGGGTTGGTTGGGGATGAGGCTGTGTTGGAGCTTAGTATGGGTATGAGCTCTGATTTCGAGGGGGCAATTGCTCTTGGTAGTGATCAGGTTAGGGTTGGGACTACGATCTTTGGGGATCGGCCGCCCAAGGCTGAGGCGAGTGTTGTTTGAGTTTGTGGGCTGGGGTGGTTATGAATTACGACTTCGTGGAGAATACATGTATACTTTAAAAGTTGTTGGGCTTCTAGTGGTTATCACCACTGAGCATGCTGATATAAAATGCGGAGGAATGACACTGTCTTCGTTTAAACTTTGCTACAATACTTATGCTATGCTGCATTCACCAAGCCCAAGCATAGAGCTTACTGAACTTCAGGCCAGTCTTCCCCCTTAATGTACTCCTCCACAGTATAGACCGGGATATCCACGCCAAGCTGTTATGCTTGTGAGAAAGGGTTCCAGATTTAGACGGGAAAACACTTACACTTTGAGGATGAACAACGCTTGGATCGCCACCATCGTACCCAAATTCCCCGATGTACTCAAACATATCAGCAAGTTCCTCGCCAACGCATCCAGGGACGGCGTTTTCAAGAACTTCGCGGTGGACTCTTACGAAACGACACTCCACACCATGGATTTTTCCCCACAGAACCGCAAATTCGTTCCAGCTGATGAAGCTTCCATAGCCGAGCAAATTTTTGCCCGGCTCGACCTGTACAAGCGCCTTGACAAATTTGCCTCCAGCGTTCGATCTTAGCCACTCAAGTTCCCTTCAAATACACGGGACGGCATACTTACCCGTGTCCTGACGTGCCTCCACCATGGGAACCAGGGCATCACCGTCTATGGGAACACCCAGCACAAACGTGCCGTCAGCTTGCTGCCTGTGTGTTAGCATTTTGCTTCGTTGAAGTAGTCGTAAACTGCCCAAGTAATTCTACAGAGCTTTCGGTTTACCTTAGTGGGCCGGGCCATATGTAGGCCCTTCTTCCAGTTGGTCACATACAGTCCAACCTGCAGGTACGAAGTCTTCTTGTCCAGTGCTGGATAGGTGGCCTTCAGATAGTCGACACCCGTCCACTTCGCGTCAAAGTGTAGGTTGTGGGTATACTTCCACTTCTTAGTGCGCGAGAGAGAGTTGAAAACACGAGTCTGTCCAAGGTGCCAATCGTAGAATTTGCGGCGTCAATGATGTTTCGGGATTGTTGCACTTCAGCCGTGTATGCGAGTTCGTTTATAGGTTGCCCAGTTGACTCTGCCAGCGCCTGTGCTTTGGGATCCCACACGACTCCCCAGAAGTCGGTGACGCCAAAGATAACGTTAGACCCGGCGAAAGCTGTTCTCAACGTGGAAACATCATTCAGGTCGGCCTTTACAAGTTCAACGCCTTTGTCAGCCCAACTTTGGCTTGATGGCTTGCTTGGATCACGCGTGAGGCCGCGGACATGCCAGCCTTGCTCTTTGATATAGATACCGGCAACGGAGGCACCCTTTCATTGGTTAGTTTCACCAGTGCTGGCAAGTCCCTCCTTAGTCTCGGTCTGTACGTACCTGACTACCCGTCAACCCCACAACAGTGATGATCTTCACCATCTTCGTTGATATTGGATGAGATTCGGATGAGATTTGAACCTGAGTAAATATAGATTGGCCTTCAACTTCTTTGTTTTGCTGGTGGAGGAAACATTTAATTATATAGGTTACTTGGAAGTTACTAGTTAACTACACTCTCTACCTACTTTAGTTAACCTCGGAATTACTAGCTACTCAGTAAGAATGGGAGATTCTCTCACGGGGACGGTGTAAAGGTTACGCCGCTACCGGTCCGTCGGTGTGATGACTATTTAGCTCCGGATCGACGGCGGTTTATGTGGTATTCTTCAGCACGGCAAGGAGAAGGCCAGAAGTGGCTGTTTGCCCTCGTCCATCGGTGCCTAGCATGTCTGTAACAATTGACAGAGCCGATGCAAGACAAAGGGTATAAGCGTCTGCGGTTGGTTGAGTATGCGTCTATCAGACACTTTACAATGCCGATCCATAAGTTTTGACATCCCTTGGCGCTACAACCTTTGGCCCTACACCACTATCATTATAACATACTCTGCTGGTTCAAACCCTCTGTGAATTCTGAATCTGTAGGCTAATATGGCGTATAACTAACTAACTAATAGCCGGTATTCGAACTGTTGGGTGTATTGATGCCTGAGGCACCTGAACCCACATGGGACAGATCAACATGTAGTAGATAGTTTCTCTTCTCTCTCCTTCTCTCTCTCCTCCCTCGGTCCTCTCTGCTCCCTACGAATCTATATGCATTGTTTCTCCAATCGAGTTACTAGATCTTATATCCTCCATCACAAACTTATCGACCGTCACTGTACTCTGGGCGCAAGGACAAAAAATGTGGAGTGGTCAACCAGTCCCAACGGAATAATACAGTATGTACGTAGGTATACAAATTAGCTGGTGCCTACCTATGCTACCGATGTTAAGGAGATACACAGCTCCCTTACGTACTAAATCAAGTAAAACTATGATCCAGGGAGTAGTTGCAGTCACGACCTCTAGAGAGTTCCTCTATAATAGGGGAAGTCCAATCGGGTTCCCAAATGCTGAGTATCGTTTATCTCGCCTGCGACTAGTACGGAGTACAGTACTAGTTGACTATATAGTAGTGTACAATACTAGTATACGAGGTGCGAAAGCGCGTATCCCTTTTAGTAGTGGATAGACGGACGGCTCGGTGAGACAGCCTCAATGTGGATGCAATTTGGCATACAATAGGAATAAAGATGACGCGAGTGAAGATAATGTGAATAAAATCAGTACTAAAGGTTGAATGTGGAACCATTGATAAGTTCATAATTGGATGATTTACCAAAAAGAGACAGCTAAAGTGCATTGGCGACCAGACGGCATATGGTTCTCCGTTACTCCGAGATTAATAATATCTAATTCTTTATAACTGCGGGATCACTCACCGTAGTTTGTTGGGACAATTGGGGAGTTTGGGGGGGGGTTGAGATCAGGCTGCGACTCGGAGTTTTGGAACGGTTGAGAACCCCTGGAATCCCGGGCTATAAAGTCACAGAATAGGACGGACGTTGTATTATCTTCACCAACTTTTACAAGTCTTGAGACTTATTACGCAGTGGCATCTACAGCAAATCGTACAGCAAATCGTACAGCACACTTCATCCGGCACGATGGGTTCTACTTCACCACCCCGCGAGAGCAGCAAGCTCTTCACGCCACTCCGTCTCGGAACAATGAATCTCGAACATCGAGTCATCATGTCGCCGATGACGCGCCTGCGCTGTCCTGGTAGTCTGCCGACTCCCATGGTCACAGAGTATTATACTCAGAGGGCGACGAAGGGAGGGCTGCTTATCACTGAAGGCATGCACCCGAGTTTTATGGTTTGTCGTTCCCGCTGCCCCCAACGTATAATCCACTTAGGGGCCCGCGTTTTGGAATAGAGCATGAAGGCTGATATTGGCGCAGGGTGGAGGTTTCTACGGCGTACCGGGCATGTTTGCGCCTGAGCATGTGAGAGCTGTACGTACAGATTCCCAGCTATTCCCTACCTTTCCCGGGGGAGTTTTATTATGAGTCATGTCTATTGATAAAACTCCCGGCATTGTGCTTTAGCTTTTCGATGTTTATGGAGATCAGTGCTAATTGTGCTGTAGTGGAAGAAGGTGACGGATGCTGTGCACGCTAAGGGTGCTTTCATAGCGTGTCAATTGTGGCATGTGAGTTCAACCCAGTGATCATCCCAAGCTTCAGGTACTGACCTAATATTGCATCAGGTTGGACGATTTGCAGTCTCAGTCTCTCTGGGCGACCGCCAGCCCTTGAGCTCTTCCGCAACCAATGTTGGCTATTTCAATAGGAACACGCGCGGAGGGGTCCAATATCCTCATGAGACAGCCAAGCCGATGATATTGCAGGATATCAAGGACACAATTGATGATCATGTGCATGCTGCTAAATGTGCGATTGAGGCCGGGTTTGATTGTGTTGAGATTGTAGGTGACGGTCTCCCTTTGAAGAATAATAATGGAAGCTGATAGACGCAGTCGTCTGGCAATGGGTATCTGCTCGACCAGTTCCTCAATACCAACACCAACCTCCGTACTGATGAATACGGCGGCAACAAGGAGAACCGAGCTCGACTCACGCTCGAAATCCTCGATGCGGTGATTGCCGCTGTCGGGGCAGCTAGGGTGTCAATCCGAATGAGCCCATGGGGAACGGTTTGGTTGCCATTGGACACGGATCCTATCGCGAACTTCCGGTATGCGCTGAGCGAAGTCGAGAAGCGAGGAGTCGCATACGTATGTCTCACTCAGCCGCGGGCCGATCTTCTACTGGAAGAGAAGACCAAGACCGAGAATATGTACGCAGCTATTAGGGAGGGGAAAGTGGCTGCTACGGTCGAGGATCTCCATCTCAGACACTTCTTGGAGGTGCTGAAGACAACCCCAGTATTGACCAACGGCAATTACAATGGCGAGAATTGCTTTGAGGAGGTGGAAAGGAATGAGGTAGATGGGATCACGTTTGCGAGGTGGTTTATCAGTAATCCAGATCTGGTGGAGAAGCTTAGGCTAGGGAAGAGACTGACCAACTGGAACATGGAGACCGTTTATGCGAGTACCGTTGAGATTGGGAGTGAGAGTGTGGGGTATACAGATTATCCTTTTGGAGAAGTTGAGGAAGAGGAGGCAGCAAAGTGAAATGTTGCTGTCTACGTCCTCCCTCATTGGGTGAACTCCAACATACATTACAATTTATTCCAGACGACCCGTATCCTTTGTTTAGCATGTCTTGTCCCTGCCCATGGTCAAACAAAATCGCCCTGCCCTACAAGCTAGTAAAACGTTTATATAAAAATAGAACAAAAACATACAACAGTGAGGATTCGCTGGTGGTCACCCACCCAACTACTAATTCACCGGCGTGTGGCTTATGTGCGGTCAATAGTTCGGTGGATGTCGCCCGGGCGAGAAATGGGTGAGTGCAGCTTTATAGTCGCGCTACCGGGGGTGAGTAGAACCGGATGAGAATCCTGCGGGCTAGCGCGATCACTGCATAGGCCGCATAGCCAGAGTTTGCAATTGGGTATGAGCGTAGGTTTCGGAACACTTGGTATCTCGGACCTAAGGCAGGATACTGTCACAACTAATCAAATTTTGAAGTGGACATGGGAATTGTTGACAGATTGCCTGCTCAAGGATTAGACCTCCGCACCGGCCCATAAAGCCCATAGCCCAACCCGGACCAACCCGCAAATGGGCTGGTCTTTGGGCCAGTCCTTAGGCCCATCGATAGGCCTTGGGCCTAGGATAAACGCCCACTAGGCTTTTATGGGGGCCCAATGGTCCTCAAACAATACAAAAATGTCAATTCTTGGCAGATTCATAATGCAGATTCTTCTAGTATTTTTGAGTATTTAAATTACCGTCTAAGACCTAAGTTGACCGAGTCTTTATGGGAATTAAGTCAATCAATAAATGCACCTACTTCTGTCTACATGAAATATACTCCGTATATATCTGCACATTGATAATTTATCACCTATTGAACCCCCGTATTAGGCTAGACTAGGGCCAGCGGGCCGAGATCTTCCAAGTAAGCTTACAGACTAGAATATGCGTAAAAAACAGGCATTATTCAGCAGGTTTATGAGCGCCAAGACGGGATTTATGTATAGAAATAGTCTTTGTTGGGGGCCTCATAGGCCCCCACTAATGGGCTATAGGCTTAGTTGGTCTTTGAAGGTAGGGCCCATAGCCCACTGCTGGTTGGTTTATGGGTCTAAGGTCCTGGCCCAACTCGGCCCATTGCGGAGGTCTATCAAGGATTGCCATGTTTGCTTATTTTGCATCGAATCTTCTGGTTATGGAAAGCAAAATGAATGTCAATAGTTCAGAATTTCCATAGTTTGGCCTCTTGAAATGAAATTTGAATTGGGCCTTGGAATCATAATCGAGCTAGTCTAAATAGGCAAAATATGTCACGTGTTGATCAATCACTATACTAGCGCCTCGGCTAGGTTCAAGGATTTGGCCAACTTTTGAAGTCTGTTAACTTTCCTCTGCCGTTCAGAAGACTCAATATCACCCAAAGAATGAAGGCCGCCTTTATGTGCTAGCTGTACCTTCATATGTTGTCGAGTTTCGACTGCCTGTGGATTACTGCGTCAGCTTTCTAAATCCACTTGGCGTCGGGTTACGGCCTGAACTTGCCTCTTCAATTGTCCCTTGCACTATGTATCGGACAACAAAAACTCTTTTGTCCTGGCCAAGACGTAGCACACGACCAATAGCTTGACTTTCACTTGACGGGTTCCACTGTGGTTCGAGAATGTGGATCCGACTTGCCACTGAGAGCTTGTTCAAACTGGTTGCCAAATGAGCGCGGATGTCAGTCACGATTTTGCGAGGGGCGCGTATCAGGGAAGTCTTACCCCACCGAACCCGTACCTTGGGTTATCAAGAGGACGCGTGTTAACGGGTCTTCATGAAATTGCTGAAGCACCTTCTTGCGCTGTGGTGAATGGACAGCTCCGTCTACCCGACAATAAGCGATGGCTTCCTCATTAAAAAGACGGCCCACGAGGTCTAGACTGCGTCTCCAGTAGGAAAAAACGATGCTGAAAGGCATTAGCGGTGCAAGTCCTTTCGTTGGTAAATTATCGAACCTCTTCTCTTCGCTATAATGCTCTTTAATATCAGCAAGCAACGCCATAAGTTTCGACGGGTATGGAGCTTGACAGGTATGGGGTGTTTCCACGGAGCTGTCAGTAGAAACGCTCTGCTCTTGGCCTTGGGCGGCGTTGGCGGCTTCGCAACCAGAGTCAAGGAGGTCGCATGAAGAGCTTCTGTGACCTGCTGGTATCGAAGTTCGAGACATGCACTCGTGACATATTAGACTATCTAGGAGGTGCCTTTTGTTCGCCGTGCAGTTTGTGGCCAATAAAGGCATGTCTGTGTTACACTCCATGCAGACCGTGTCGCCACTTTGCAGCTTTAAGCTGGAGATTTCATCTGTCTGGGACTGTTCGACGAAATTTTCGAGTGTTAACATTGAGTTAATGCCAGTGTTACAAAATATTCGCAGAAGGAGAATGGCGGTTAAGATGATTCTAGGCTCTCCTTTCCCTCTTTGGAAATTAACAGCTGCTTTGATGCGTTCCTTGCAAGCAGTTTCCAAAGCTTTATAGGCTTGCCTTTCGGACTCTGACAAGGCGGGGCGGTGTACCTGGAAAGAAACTCCCAACTCGGGCAATATGGACGTATTTCTTCTCAGGCATATCGACCCCAGAAGTACGCGAAGATTGTCATAATTTGGTTTGGGGGCGGTGATCCCTGCGAGGCTTGTTCCAGTAATAAATCTGCGAAATATTGACGAATCATCAAGAACCGGGATGCGGAGAAATTTCACCAGTGATTCAAGGTCATCCAATGAATTTTGAACCGGTGTTCCACTCATACACCAGCGTATTACGGCTGAAATATTCATTACGGCCTTGAACGTCTTCGTGGACGAGTTCCGGATAACGTGAGCTGTTGAATATCAGCTACCATGCACACGGGTATATCACACTTCAGGTGAATATGACAGACCTTCGTCTAACACTAGACGATACCAGCGGAAATGATTGAGAGCACCGCCTCCACGATTGAAATCCGTCATTATAGTGCCGTATGTTGTGATCACTATATGATAGGGCGGGGATGATGATGTGTTCAGGCTTCTACTTGGTCCATGGTACTTATAATACGTCAAGCTGCCGGAGACAACATGCCTTTGAGTATGTCAGTAACGGGAACAGCTTGTCGGTGTATAAATCCGTACTTCTCAAGCTCTTCAACCCAGCCGTCCAGAATCACTGCAACTAATTAGCACATTCCAAGGCCCATAATGCAAAAGCCTACTTACAAGAAGAGGGTACAATGACAAGTGTTGACTTCGCTGGAATCTTGCCGGCCGCTTGCGTCATTTCGGTGTTCTGTGACATATCATTCGCGTAGCTTTCAGCGTCTGAAACACTGGACACAATAGCAGCGACCATCGTTAAAGTCTTGCCTAACCCCATATCATCAGCGAGAATACCGCCCAACATGTCAGTAGCAACGTGGCTCTTTGCGCCTGTAATTTTATGGCGGTAGCTAGCTTTGAATGAGCGCTGCGTTTCAATTTACGCACATTGGGAACAACCCACCAAGAGCGATCCGAGGTAGAACTATCGTGTCTCCATAGGCCTCCAGGCTTCATGGTGGAGGACTTTTCTCTATGCATGATAAAACCGACTCCTTCCAATTGGTGGCTACAGTGGTCGACCGTTAGTAAATACTTCAACATGCGATTCATTCAGTTTCTCGCCTTAATAGTGTGGTCTGAATCCGTTTGTCGGTCTGCGCCTTCTTCAGGTAGCCCTGTTTGGGAAGATCATTTATTACAGAGAACACATCGGTCACCTCATGGCGGATTGATCCGGTGGCATCGGTATAGCCCGTCTCGCAGGCAAGAGTCGTAGGTGAGATTGGTGGTAACAGAGCCCCATTTGGAAGCGAATTTCCCGGCAAGTTCAGGTAATGCGGGTTCTCATATGTAGCATCGTAAAGAGAAGGAGAGGGATGCTGCAAAAACAGACGGTAGCGTGATAACTCCTGGCCCACAACGGCCGCATCTACACGAGTCCCAAACAAATATATGTGTATGCGACAGCAAAGACTCGGAGGCTCAGAGTTGGCAGGCTCTTTATTTGTCGATATTCTTCGGTTTAACTCTTTGCGGGAGACGAGCCCCTTATATTCAATGCTTTTCGCAGAAGACGAGAGACATGTAAGGGCGAGATGGGTCTTCTTGTTCATCATGGCGACAGAGCGGCCATCTTTGGATTGAAGCTCACAGCGATCCTCGTTCATCACGAAATTTAGACATAAAAACACCTCACCGCCTCGTTCGATTTGGTCAAATGCGGTGGATGCCACAGTTCGTATGCGGTTGAATTGGATTTGAATGTCCTTCAACTGAATATACCTGATGTCAATTATTGGCCATGCAGGGGTTTATTTATTATATCTGAAGTTTTCTTCTTGATATCGGGGCGAAATAATTATCGCAATCATACCATTCCGAAACATAACTTCTCATGCTCATGAGAGTAAAGCATTCGTGATTTAGCTGCGGCACTTTTCAGTTTTCGGAACTACCCGAGGGGGATTGTTGGACCAACACAGTGGTTCTCTTCCCAAAAAGACGGATACTAACAACCAAAAAAAGTTATAGTCTTACCGATGTTCTCTGGACCATGTATGGACATCTTATTCGACGAGCAACTTGGGCTTGGGGCATTATTGACAAGGAAACGGTCACTAAAAGACGGAGCTAAGGAGCAGGGGGAGACCAGGATGTCGCGATCGAGTAACCGCTTCGCTTGTTCATTGTGTCTCGATGCTGTAGATCTTCCTCATGCTCATCGAACCGCCGTTTGGGAGTCATGGAATTGAACATGATGTAACACAAGTTCTTAGGGCCCCGGGATTTGGTTTATCGCTTCGTAGCCCCAAGTTCGAGGTTTCGCACTGTTGATGAGCAAGGCGGTGTAGCCACGGCATCTTACAAGGTCTGACACGTGAACACAGTCACGTGTAAATGGCTACCTCTTGTTCAGATTCTCAATTTAACGGCGGTGCAATGCCTGATGACATAAAACGTGCAACATCATTCTATTGGCCACAATCTTTGCTCACCGCTCTATTCTCACCTGTCTGCCTTGCGTCACCCTACTTAATGAGGCTGTGAGGCTCACCTAGGCAGATTTCAGGCAGATTCCAGATATTACCCACTTCGGGAAGCGGCGTGGGTAGCGGCGGATATTCATGCAGCGCATCCACACCGCTTCCAGGGTGCAAGACATCCACACCACAACCGCCGGGAAGCGGTGTGGATAGACCTCAAGATAGCCCATTTCTATGCACAAATACAGTCTTAGCACGCATAAAGTAGCTGATTAATGGCTGTATTTACGTATATACCAGCCTATATATTCCGTATTATTATATTATCATAGTAAGAAGTGGGAATTAAGTAGATATTATACTGATTTTAGCATCATGATACTAGATTTCAGACAAAATTTCATACAAAATTTCATACAAAATCTATCTTATCAATCAAATCAATCAGTCCTATAATAGGTTAATTTATAAGCTTATAAGAAGAAGAGAAAGAAGATTTCTGTATAGCTTTATACATAGCTCAGGCGGTAATTTGAATACCCAAAAAACCAGGAAAAAATGCATTAATTATATAGCTACGATAAATTAGCATGTGTTTGTATGGGCCCCCATTAGCCCTGTGGGCTTTGTGGGCTTTCTTGAGGTCTAGGTGTGGATGTGCTGCAGGGCATGGATATCCAGTACCCTACGCACTATCCAAGCCTGTTACGTGCCAGTCAAACGAAGGAGGTTTGAAGGTTACGAAACTGGAGAAACGAGAAAAGGAAAAAGGTTCCCGATAAACTTACTGTCACGATTTGTCTTATTTTGGTGCTTCCCAGCTTCTTCCCATGGCCGTCCTAGACTCTGCGACGGTCATCCTTGATCGTCGTATTGCGCCCTCTTCTAAAGGACCTGGCCTACCAGATTAAATCGTACAAGTCACACAGGTTTATTACCGTCAGGGTGATCAGGTTTAAACCAATTACTAAACGCTGCTTCAGCCTAGAGATTTAAGCGTTTTGTAACAAGAGCCTATTCTTCGAGAAAAGATTGCATTCCGCAGCGAATACTGAGACTGGAGAGAAGAGAGAAGGGAGAAGTGCTGGATGAGGTGCCTGCCTTCATACCCCTTAGTTTCTGCCAATCAAATCGCTCAAAACTAACCAAATCTATCTACACATTATTTCCGATCACAGTGCCCGACTCGCTTACCGAACACGTTAACTAAAACCGGTGCCAGTCCTTACTCCTGTGCAACTCTATGTTCGGTGGGAGTGTAAAAACTCCACTGGTTGGACTTTGGGGTGATTCTGCTCCAAAAGTCTTAATTCATGGCATTGCCTTGGCCGTTGACGAAGACTTGTCTAGTCCGCAAAGGTGTAAAAAGACCTCGAATGATGGGAGGAGCTTGCCAACAGCCAGTAGTGCCTCTGAGTTCGAACCGGATTGATTGGTGAAAATGTTTTGTCCACCAGCCTCGTTTTGCTCTGTGCCTTCCTGCAGCCTCTCCAGCATCAATGGTCGAATACAGTTGCGGCCTGTTCTGCTCTTGAGATGAGTGGCAAGGGTGTCGGTCCGAGTAAATGAAGCCTTGCAGCCCCATGTGGACCCGTCCTTGAGATTACCTTGACATATATATTCTCTGTTCTGATGTCCTTGCTCGTGACGATCGCGTTCGAACTTGCGCGTGAAGTCTGCACCACAAACCGCACATTCATAAGGTCTTTGCCCAGTGTGGGTTCTCAAATGGGTGTTCAAGTTATGGCGTCTGGTGAACGTCTTCGGACACTGGTCACAATGAAACTTTGCTTCACTTATTGTTTGCTTGTCTGGCCTCTGCCGCTTGGGCGGATCTGGGAACTCCGTATCATCGAACATGTCGATGCCGTGGTACTCAAAGAGATGTCCTTTTAACTCATTGTCCGTTGTGCAGCCGAAGGATGCCATGTGACAGCCAATGACAAAACAAAGGAATGGACGCTCATGCTTCGAAACATGAAGCTGTCGTTGGTTCAGGGTGCTGAATCCCTGGTGGTAGAAACAGCAGTTTATGCGGGGGCATTTGAACCAGTTCGAGCCGTAAAACTGATTCATTTCCCGCATTTCAGAGTTAGAAAATGATTGGGACGACATATATTCTAAAATGACTCTAGACTTTTCGGTGATTTGCCATAGATCCAGCGCGTCGTCTGCAGTTGGACCATGGCCATGAGTGCCAGTCTGCTTTCGATGCCAAGCAACAGCTTGTAATATTTTGCGAAGAGACTCGGAATTATGCATGGGAGCCAGAGTGCCTTTAACCTTTTGAGAAATTTGCAACGGCTTTGCCGACGATGACGAGTGTAACTCAACAAATGCCTCCAAGGTCTCCTGGAGTTGATTCAGTCTGTCTCCTGACTCAGTCTCCGGAATTCCGGACTGCAGATGCATAGCCCAACAGGCTGAAGCGTAGTCGTAAAATGCATGCGATCCATTTCGAATATCAACAGCAATATCATCGTCGTTCCGGTGTTGGTCGAACTGAGGAAAGGCAAGATAGGCAAGGCACAACATTGAAAGGGAGTAATTTGCGTCTTCAGCCTGAACAGTTTTTGTTTCCACGAGATACCTGGCGTATAAATGGTTAGTATTCACTGTCTGGTATATATGCTTGAAACATACTCCCGAGCGGTGCCATGAACGAGCTCAACAGTGCCATCTGCTTGCATTTCGACAAGCGCTGCAAAAAGCCCTTTCGGCGAATCTAGTAGCTGCTTGTCATAATCGACAAGCTGTTGTTCCATGTCAATACAGATGGCTCCCTGAATTTCCCGCCAACGTAATGGTCTTTTAGCGCAAACAATCCATCCAAGAACTTGTCGCATGTGAATAGCAAGATTGCTGCCTCTCGAGTCAAATACACGCTGGATAATCCGTGAATATCTGTGCCATGTCATATTAATATTTGGATGTGAAAGTTTGGTCAAGTCACGCACACAGTATCCAGCTTGACTGGGAATCTCTCCGGTCCAAGTTCTTCAAGCAGCGAAGCCCGATGTGGTTGATCTTCCAGGTATTTAGCCATCAGTTCTGCAAAAATGAACATGCCTTAACACGCGTCGTCAGAACCGCATTATCACTAGCTATATTCTGGACACAAACCTTGCGCTCTTGCTAACAGGATATTCGCAATGTGGTACTCCTTTGACCGTAATTCTCCAAATTTGGCCTCGATCTGCTTATGCCACACAGAAACAAAATAACTGAGGTCTCCTCTGTTCTCAAGTGCAGTGACCTTGATGGATGGAATTCCACATGCTGCATCGTCTTGGCTCACGAAAAGGCACCTTATAGAGTTCATCTGCTCTGAGGAAAGATCTTCTATCAAGTTCTGAAACCAGGAAACGATTTCCTTTCCATCATGCCGTCCACACTCATCGAGACCGTCGATGATAAGGTACGTTTTGGCGCAACTATTCAGAGCTGTTCGTAGCATTTCTTTGGCAGTAGCATTTGATGTTAGTATCGTATCCTTGCTCAATGAGGCTTGCTCATAAAAATATGGTAATAGGTGAGGGTTTTGAGCAAGAACCTGCGCCAATAGTGATCTTGCAACGCCGATGAACGCGTTTCGTAATTTATCGCCATACTTGCAGAAGAAAAATGCGACGGTGGAGTCGTTGACTGATTTGACTGCATCCACAACTACCGATGCAAGAATTGTTTTGCCTTCTCAAAGTTAGCTGCAGTCACATCATGACCAAATTTTGGCGGGTATGAATGCGTACCAGCCCCCCGGGATTCCAGCCAGCCAAAGCAATGGCGATGGACAGAAAGTAAGAAAGTCAGGGTCAAACCATTTCTGGAAATTTTCGTGATCGAGGAGCCACCGGCCTGAGTCCGGACAGATTGATCTTGTGTTTCGGTGACGGTCCTGTTCCTCATCACAAGGAAAAGCAGACAGCCACTGCCGTACCATTGCTTGGCATTGATCGTCTCGAGCAATCTTTTCCCTTCCAGAGGCGTTCATTGCAGTCTGTCGGTGATTCTGAATCTCTTCGAATTCTGCAAGGGTCACGGGGTTTTCGACTACTCGCCTATTTCGTCGCATGTTCTGTTTGATGTAATCAATCTCCGGCAGTTTGCTTCTCCAGGAAGCTCTGAACAGTTTTTTCCAGTCTGTATTTTGTGTCAACTCATAATCGTCTCTAACAATGGTTACCAGGAACCCACATCGTTGCTTGAAGAGGCAAATTGCTGCACAATGGAAATCCAAGATGTCGTCATACATCAGGGTCAAGATCTCTCTCAAAAATGGCCTCATAGTAAATAGCTGGCGGGAGGTTAAGAGGCGAGGTATCAACTCTCCAATCTCCTGATATGCATCTAGAATTGAGTTGTATGCGTCTGGCAGCGCTGAGGCTACCTACAACCGAAAAATAGAATCAATGTTTGGTCCGTCACCGTTATTTGAATATAATTCCACTTACTCTAAGAACGTATTTTACCGGGCCCTTTGTTATTTAGTCAATAAAGGAGTTATTTAAGCAAAGGCGGGTAGACAAACTCACCCAGATGAAATACTCAAAGTCCGAGAATACTAAGAAGTCCCCAGTGACCATAGTATACTGCGTTACGGAGGTCAGAAAAGAGTCCAGTCTGTTCATGTTTTGCAAGCCTTCGTTGCTCTGCTCCTGCTCCCCTTGCATACTCCGGAGAAATTTATGGAGTTCGTCAAGGCTCATCGTCTTGAAATCGGCTTCCTCAATTTCCGTGATGCCTGTAGCTCGTTTAAACTTCATTATCGAAGCTATATGTAACCATTTAGCTTGTTGATACCTGAATTAGTAGTCTTCACGTCACTTACCCTTGAATGTGTCCCTGATGGTATCCTGATATGCCGGTGTTGGTGGCGTGGACGCAATCCTTGGAAGTTGATCACAACCCGTTGAGCGGCCATAGACACAGCCTTCATCCTTAGGGGATGAGAGGATGCTCGACAGTTTCGAGATGACAACGTCGGAGAGAGGCGATCCTCGAGTGAATTTCACCATGTCGGAGTGCGTTGAATTTATTGGGAATGTGACAGACGGATTCGACTGTGTAAATCTGCAAGTTGCTGATTCTCGATTTACTAAAATAGCTGGCCACCCATTTCGATCTATCTTGCCGTCTGGAAGCCGCTGTAAGCAAATAAGTTTCGCTTCCACAATACGATTCTGATATACTCTAACATACTCGGATTGTGGGGGACTGTAACGTCTCATACGCCCAAAAGCACTGTATTGTATCCGTGATGTAGCTATCCTCGAAATGCTTGTGGAGCTGATTGAGATAGTTAGACCCGCGAGCAAGGTCGTCGACTAGGTTCTGGTTAGGATTATTGCCAACAACCGTATGGAAATGCTGTTGTTCCATCCCTAGGCTGGGAACGCCGAAGAAGACCGCGCCTTTGATGTTGCTAAGAAGTCTCTTGTATGCGTTATTCGAAGCGAGTCGAACTAAAGCCTCCTTAAGGACAAGTCCACCAAGGCTGTGTGTAAGAAAGGCTGTAGGTTTTACAAATGAACTATTCCAACCATACGTCTCAAGTTGATTGACGAACGCTATTGCAAGGTCCGGGATAAGTTGAAATGATTGACTGTCGTGCAGTTTCGTGTCATAACCGTAAATGAGAGCTCTAGCGCCTGGTAAAGCATCTGGCAGCTCATCGCGGATCCACATGAACGTCTTGTTACCTTCTTTTGGTTGCCAGGACCCGAAAGGGTGGCTAGCTAAGCCAGAAATTGCGATACAACTGCTCAAGGTCAGATAAGTATAGCCGATAGGGGACATATCACTACTCAAACGTATGTTTCGAAGGCTCATAATCATTCAGGGGTGTAATGCCCATGAAATGAGTATCTAAGATGAAATCACCAACGGCATCCAACGGCTTAGCTAGAACTGGCCACTCATTGCTGGAGGAAACCGGGTCAATGAGAGACGGTACGCTAATGAACATCACAGTCGCCACTTTGAAGCGAGAAGGTTCTCGAACATGTAGTGCAGTTGCTAAAGAGAAGACTCGAATGCAGTTTGTGGGAGTGTCACCAAGCCTATCACTCAGGAGACTGGCTACATCATCCCGAGTTGTAGTTGTGGACGGCAACCCACTCAGTCGAAAGACTGTCCTGGGCCAATCGCGACGGCTGGCGGCCATGGGAGCTAAATCAGGCCACAGTGGAAACACCAAAACGATAGCGAATTTTGAGCGTGATGAAGATGAGAGTTCTGAAGGTCCCTCGCTTCGTAGCCCGGAGTTTTGAGGTTTCCAAGGTCTGGCACGTGAACACAGTCACGTGTAAATGGCTACCTCTTGTTCAGATTCTCAATTTAACGGCGGTGCAATGATTGATGTCATACCAGGTGAAATGTTATCGTGGTCTCATTCTATTGGCTACCTGCACTGCCACCCAGGTTCGTATTTCCTAAGCCACAAGAACACCTATGCATGTCACATTTGTTTAGCCTTAGTCAGCCCACAGTTCCATACAGATTGCTAGGAATCAAGGCTGGAAAAGGCCAGATTTTTCAATATCCGTGATTGGACAGTTACATTTGCATTTGTTATGTTAGGCATTACGAGCGCCTGAGTAATCAAGGGCAAAAATATCGTTTCCATTTCAAAAAAAAAGTCGATCCTAAGGCAAAGATCCAATTCTGCCTAGAAGCTAATGAAGATACCTTGTTTCGTCAAGTAGTTAACTAGCTAATTAGCCAACTGGGCCACCCATAACACCATAGTAAATGCCATATTTTACAACTTGGTATCTCAACAACCATGTTATAATTTGATTTCATTATTATTCGATAGCTATTAATAAGAATTATTAGTACTATATATTAATGTTAAAGAAAGCAAAAAGTTGTATGATCATCATTTCGAAAATTACCGAAAATTATGTCTCTAAAAATTAGAAATATATATATCGCCATCACAACGTTATAAAGATTTTCCAAATTCCTTAGGAAAGCTAGGTATCATATAAAAAGCATCGATCTATAAGGAAAATCCCCTATAGCCCACCGTTGTTGAGATATAAGGTTGTAAAATATGGCATTTACTATGGTGTTATGGGTGGCCCACTCACTAGTAGTGGCTCACTCACTGGTGAAATACGTACGTTGGTTAGTTAACTAGTTAGACTTAGTTAGTTAATCGCTGTACCTCATTAGGAATTAGGCCAATACTAGCCACCTAAGCATTATAGTTATAGTAACATATCTAAGAGTTTTGCTGGCCCGTGGTGTTGGCGATTCAAGGAGTGTCCACGGCGCTGAAGACTTCCAAGGTGGGAAATCAAACCTATTCAGAAGGTGCACCTGTCAAACTTTTCATATTCTAGGACTTAGCATCTACAACTACTCAATCTATCTCTCACGTTACACCATCCATCTCGACGTCCACCACATAGACTTCTCTTAACAGCACCGTCAGGTGACCTTTCTCAGTTCCCATATTTAGCTCTCACTCGGTGGTTTTTTTCTTTCTTATCTATCCATCCACACATATCTCAATATCATTGATCTTGATCATCATTCATTTATCCTTAGAAAACCATAAAGCTCGGCGGATCAGATGGGACACTTCACCCAAGGGATCAAATCGGCCTTGGCAATATTCTGCCCAACATTACTACCTGACATGTGGTGGCTACGTAGGTTTTTAGGGAAGTCTTTCATATTTTGTACTAAGATAATTGAGAGATATTTCAGAAGAGGTCTCGACAACACTGAGGCGAGTTGGGTTTGTTATATCTATTACCACTTCTTATAAATTTGTAACCATGGAACGCTTTAATGAGTACATAAGCCATAGAATAACCTCGTGTTAAACACCCGAACACTTCTCATTTCTGCTTGTCCCCCTGAATTTTTGCACAGCTATCAAATTCTTCTTCGCCCAGTAAATATGATAAACGACCAAGGCCCCCAAACTAAACCTATAAGTATAACACTCGCTGCTACCCCTACTAGGCTTGCCACAACAAACACCACTGACGCTCCCTGAAAGAGCTTACTCTCTCCTAACAAGCTCGTACCTATGCCTACCTGCATTGCACTTGTAACAATAGTTGCAGCCCAAAACAACGAGAGTAACCAGGCAAAGGTTCGAACTAGATATGCTTTGGAACCTAAAGCTGCTGACATGAAGCCGTGAATAAGGTTATGTACCGAGAAAGTATGAGGAGAAAAGCGGTAGATAAGATTTAAACGGGAGAGTCGGAGTTCGCCATAGTGGTAACGTATCGACACAGAATCGAGAGTTTCGAGATCAATGTTAGCGAGTACGTCCGTGACAAAACCGACCCACATCTCCCAGGTTATAGAGGACGGAAGTAGATTTGAATCATGCGCGATAGCAAGGTCGTATTTGCTACAAACAAGCCAGCAATAAGATAAGAGGAATCCGCATGCACATTGGTGTAGTGATTCGTCCTGAGCTAGGAGGCGGCCCTTGGTTGTCCAAAATTCATGGCATAGTAGATAATCTGGTAGAGGCTTGATGAAGATGCGTTCGGCGTGCGAGATAAGATGCTCATTTGGGTTTTCGGTAATGACAATGGTGCGGCCTAGAAGTTTTTGGCGGTGGAGTGGACGGGCAGCATTTGGAAGACCTGCGAGCCACAAATGGGAGTAGACCCTATCAATAGAAGGTGTGCGCAGATCCAAGTCCAGAATATCCGAGACTGAGCGTTGTGGGTTGAATCCAGTACTTGGGTGGTGGTAGGGTGGGAATAATTGTATGATAGGCTGGAGTTCATGTTCTTTTCTGAAGGGCGGATGAAAGGGGCTCTAGGCTTCATTTAGAAACAGCTATTTTCTCGTCCTGGTAGGAAAAATAAACCTACTATCTTCTCCCCGGCAGTAGTTTCCTCGTTTCCAGAGAATTCCATTCTCAAAAAATGCCACAAAAGAGTCGAAACCTTTTAAGCAAGCACTTTTCCGACAGTTTTATAAGAAATTTCATTAAACTCGAATGTTGAAGCGTGCGATATATCGCTGGCATAAATAGCTTGTTTCTCTATATTCCCAACAAACAAATCTGAGTGAGGCTGCTCAGCCTCAAAGGCCGAGACCTTTTAAATAGATCTGAAGGTCCGAGCGCTCTGATTTGAGCTGAACCAGCTTTGCACTTTTCCGGCGTAGTAATGAGCCAGTCATAATTATCTCTATAGCGCTGTTGCAGTTATAGATTATAACAAACATATGATAATTTAAAAGTATCCGTTCGTGGGAATAACTCATCCTGGCTCTTATCCCATCAGTTCCGTATTCAGTCTTCTCACCTAGGTACACACGATCTAAAACAGCGACCAGCTGTTTTACCACTAGCCTAGACCGACTAACTAGTTATGTGTTGGCATAAGTGTACCTAGTTGAGGGTGTGGCTTATATGCGGCTAGTAATTGGTTGGGTTGGAGCGAGAATGGTGAGAGCGTTTGAGAAACACTCTCCATCAAGCGACCCCCGCACTGACCCTTTCAGCTGAAGTCCCAGTTAGATTATTGGATACCTTGATCCACCTGAAACACTCTGTCTCTTGGCAACTCCACAATAGGATCAAACCCAATCCAGGATTGGCTCAATCAGCGACAAGGATGATTTCTAGCTTGCATTATGCCAAGTGTTCTACGTGTACACGTACATAGGCACCCAGATGCCATCCATCCTCACGCGGCCCTCAAAGTGCAGGGCACTGGCCGGGCGGCCTCTAGGGCGCCCGCCACTTGTGCCTCTGTTAGATGAATTTGTATGTATCACTGCCCCTTATCCTAAGTGGTAGGGGATGGGCTGATGAGGCGGTCAAGCGAATGCTTCAAGAACAAGAGATTGGCTTCAACTCTTCGGACTGCAATGGTCGGACACCTTTACGTTGGGCTGTTGGCAATGAACACAAGGCCTTGGTAAAGTGGCTAGTTCAAAAAACTAGATCAGATGCAAACTTGTAGTACAGTATATATCGTGGAGCCCAAATATTGGGAATTTGGGAATGGTTTAGAGTAAGAGAAGGGCCTCGTGGCTTATATTTATATATTTATCCTTTTCTTAGGACGCCCTGAGGGTAAGAATTATTACCTCGTTCTCACCGCTCTCACCCTAGTCTCGAGACTTCTCACATATATCACCCGCACTCACCCTATAGTACCGCTTCCACACTGAAGGCGTAGGAACTATTAACCATGCAGAATAATCGGCTTGAGTACGGCTGAGCGGACGGGAAGCCCTATTTTCCACACCCTATGGTCGTATGTATTTATTTGAAATATAAAGGGGCATAACTATAAGACTAGGGTGAGAAAGGTGAGAAAGGTGAGAACGGAGTGAGAACCGTCACCCTTGAGGTGGTCGGGGCCAACTCCCCCTAAACCTAGTTCAGTCCTAAGGGAAATACAAATAGTCAAGCCCCGAGGCGCTTCTCTTACTCTGCTATGATTCTCTTTACCATCTAAAATATATTGTTATTGCATTTGTCTCATACATATTCAAGTCTTAACCACCCATTAAGCTGCTGGAGTCTGGCTATTTACGGGCCCCTGCGCGCTCGCAAGAATGGCCACGTAAAACATACACTGTCTCATAGAGCTTGTTCTGTGCCTAGATGCATCCTCGACATGTGACCTCCACCTTGAGTCTCGAGTGACCTGCAGGTATCCGTGGGCATGGTCAAACCCGACTATTTATAAGTCATTGCAGTGTTGTATCACTTGAAATATACGCTATGCGAGTGGGTTGCTAAAGCTTGTCAGCGTGGCATGAGTGTCCGACTTCCTGTAGGAATACGGAAGACCATCGCATATATAGAGAAAACTAAAAGAGTAAAGTAGCAAAGTAAGGGAATCAATCCTACACTCCTTTAGTCGACGGAAGGATATATATATACTAGTATATTTTAGGAAGGCGAGAGTACTGAATAGGGCATGGTAGGAATCCCTCAAGCAACATATAATAGGCAGCCATCCCCCCTTCCTTTCTCTCAATTTTCCTTCCTACAACTACCCTAACCATCCATCTATTGTCCAATACCCCCGCCACCTTCACCCATCTGTTTATCATTTATCAAGACGGCTCTACAACTTGATGAAACCTCCTTCCACTGAGTTTTAGGATGAAGAACGCGAGGCACTTGTTGCCTTGAGCTCATTGCACGCAGGTAAGAACACCTGATCTGCCCTTGGAGATGAAGGATACTCACCAGAATTTAGAGGCGAGTATATTCTTATGAGTTATGACAGCTATGAGTTATGACGGTTATGAGCTATGAGTGCTTTGTGTCGTGTTCTCGGTGTGTGGGCACCAGTGTTCCCGACCACGCCTTGGATGCACGCGCTTGATCAACCCATCTAACCACACAAGCTATCCGACCGAGTGTCAGTTTGGGATGACCGCAATGATGCGGAGGTGACGGCCGAGTGGCAGAGTGAAAACTTCGAATCGTCAACGGAGACGTGATGGACATCGAGCGAGTCTGAACCTTGATCACACCGAGCATGTAAATTCGCCAGCCTGTTGCAGACATTGGGCTTCCAGTGAAGCTTGACTTGCGTTGCACGAGGCAATGCAGAGATCAAGTGTCCCAGAGCCAGCGGAGACCCAACTGAGATATTTAAGACGTATGTCGGCAATGCCCGACTTGCAGCGACCCAACCCCGACCCCAACTGAGATTATGCAACTACAACATACAAACGGAGTAACCCGACCGGTCTTCAATAAAGACCGGGGTCTCCTGGGACGGCAGTTGGCGTCCCAGGGGATCCAACAGCCGCGGGCTTGGACCTCTACGTGGTACTGTTGACTAGTAGCCTTTTGGTGAAGCCAACGCAAGCTCATATTCTCATGGACTTTCATTGCTTCTGGCAGTATCCTGCCACGTCTAGATTTACCATCTCTCAGAGTGGATAGGGGAGACTAGAGACATTACTACGCCATAAATACCTGTAATCTAGTCAGATGATTGATGTATATCTTGACTCAAAGCTGGGACCAGAATAGACGTAAATGCATATACATCTTCAATGAACTCCCAGATACGATCATTTCCGAACTAAACCGCCAAATAAGATACTACATACATGCATTGTTGAGATGTTGCTGTCCGAAGTCTGCCTCCTGGCTAAATAGAGCTCTCTTTCTTCCTTAGTCATTGAATCGTTCTCTCTTCCCTCACTAGCTTCGCCGTTGAATACTGTGATCATCTAGAAGTGCCACTGGCTTGGGTTGCTCAGCCTCAAAGGATAATGTCCTTAGTCCCTATTGTCATGGAATAGACGGAGAATCAACTTCCGTCGCCCGTTAGCCTCTTCTGGGTATCCAATAAAATGTCGACATTATCTGAACTCGATTGCTTCCCCCGGTTTATTCCAAGATTGTGAGATAAAACTTCCGGTGTTCTTGGCATTTGGTGGGAGTTCCCATATTGGCTATGGTGATTTTCATAGAGCTAGGATAGTAGTATACACAAATGGCGAGCCCAGGTGGATCAAATAGACTAAATATGCACTAAATACATACCTCCTAGGCACACAAAGGGCATAACAAAATCATAAACGGGAATGTTTTAAAGCCAAGCTACAAAGTATTCCTGCCAAGATGAAGAATATAACATCTTCCTTTTACCCCGCAATGTCGGTACAATAGAGGCCGACAACTAGATGAGGCTATAAATCAAGTCCAATCTGGCGAATTGGCATGATTCCTGACATCCCAAAGACAACTGGCACAAAACCGTCAAGATGCGATTGTTATCAGCTTTTCTGGCTACCCTTTTGGCTGTCTCGGCGAAAAGTAAATACATTGTCCCCGGGGGTAGATGGCGCGACACAAATGGGAACTTCATTAATGCGCACGGTGCCGGGATTACCTTCGACCAGAAGTCCGGCCTTTTCTGGTGGTTCGGCGAACATAAAACAGAAGAGGAGCCAGAAGGCGGAGGTGTCTCTGTTTATAGTTCGGATGATCTGAGTACCTGGAAATCGGGGGGACTGGCCTTAGGTAACTCTCCATCACCGTGCTGGAGATCAATCAATAATCTAACATGTACAGCCCCAATCAAGGGACACCCACATATCGCTCCTGGTGGCGTGATCCAACGACCTAAAGTGGCTTACAGCCCCGAGACTGAGGATTATCATGTATGCATGCGGACCTCACCTAATGTTTTGCCTTCCAAGACTAATTAAACAGATGTGGTGGCATGCAGACAATTCGACGTACGGGCTCCTTCTCCAAGGCCACGCAGTATCCTCCACAATCGACGGCCCGTACAATTTCGTTGACGCAACAGCGCCCCTTGGAAACTGGTCCCAGGATTTCGGCTTGTTCACTGACTACAAAGACGGCCGATCATATGCTCTCTACTCGAACGGGGATAGTCGAGAAGGACGAGATGTGTATATCTCAAGCATGAATAATAACCTCACAGCTCTCGAAAAGGCCGTGTACCGATTTCCAAAATTCGATCTTGAGGCTCCAACTATCATGCAGACAGAGAAAAGCTACTGGGCACTTATGAGCCACAAAACTGGATATAGACCAAATAGTAAGACGTCCAGTTCATGACGATGTATGAACTGCTTGGCTAACCTTTCAGATGTGGTGGCGTTTCGGGCTGACTCACTAAGTGGTCCCTGGTCACAGCCGTTTATCGTCGCCCCGTTGAATACGCGGACTTTCAACTCGCAGTCTGGATACACGCTCAGAATCGAGGGTACAAAAAGGACAACGCACCTATACATCGGAGATCAATGGGATTCCAATTCCGTCTGGGACAGTCGTTATATCTGGTTGCCAATTCAGATTGATGAGTCTAAGAAGACTCTTGAGTTAGAGTGGCACGATATTTATGATCTTGACGTGTACGTGTGCTGTCTTCTGCGTTTACCATGTGGTCTATACTAACTGGATATTAGGAAAACCGGGGACTGGAAACCTGTCAAGGGAACAACATACACTGCCAAAGAGGCAAGGACGCACGGTGATACATATAAGCAGGAGGCTGTGAGTATAAATATATTATCTCAGGCATCGGACTATCTGTGGCTAATATGATTTATTGAAAGAACTTTGCTACCGATGGCGTGATCCTCACTGGAATATACGGAAACGACAGCACTGTTACATTTGAAAATATTGAGGGATCTGGAAAAGCGCAATGGGTATCATTCTATTATGAAAGTACGTCGGCCGTTTCTTAAGTACAGTCTCCCTGCACGATACTGACATTATGATTAGACACTGACGACTTGGGTTTCGGCGATCAACGTAAGTAGACTTCAACATATTTGCTGGAGCTAAACTGTGGTTCTTGTATGCTAATACGTTCAATAGCTGGAGGCAGCCCTGACAGAATCGGTGGTTCATGGCAGCTACGTCGAATTAGCAGCGTGGTGGTCAACGGAGACCCTTTGAGCATGCAAACTCTATACCAACGAGATACACACAAAGGTGTCATTCTTTCCACTCCCCTGCAGCTGACACTGGACAAGGGGAAGAAGAATACTATCACAGTCGGGGGACTATATAACGGGTTTGATTACAAAGGTGCGGATTTGGATCGGATAGTTGTGTATCCTACCGAGGGGTAATATTGGAGAAATATATGCGAGAATTTCAGTCAGGACAATTGAGAAAGCTCCTGACGTATAGTCACGAAGAAGTGTTTGGCTATCGGTCATGTGACCCAATTGAGACATTCATGAGATTCTGTGAAGGATCGCATGGTTTTCAATTGGTTGACTAGCTGCGGCCTATAGGCATTACTTAATTATATAATCCTTGCTAAGCCTTGAGGCCGCACTCGCAAATCCCTGAAGAAGAGGACGCCGTAACAGTCACAACATGTCAACTAGACTGTACGCACTACGCGAGAATGGACTGTACCGCGAGCCTGTTTTGCGTGCGTCCCGGTCCTCTTACGATGGCCCAGCATTCTACCGATTAGTTGGATGGAGGAACGAGAACGTGGAAGCACTCTTGGCACAAGCAACTGGTACCCAGGTCCTACCTGAGCAAGCTTGCAATCACTGCCAGCGGGGTCAGGGGTTATTTGCCTCATGTGTTATTGTCCCAGGCAGACTTCTTGACTGTGCGAATTTTCATTGGGCTGGACAGGGACATCGATGCAGTTTCCGTGATCGAGCACCCACAGAATATGTTCCTTTGAGACAGAGCGACGTGGAGCGAAGGCTTCAGGGGTTACGTGAGACCCGTGAATATATCATGGCTCAGCTTCTGCGGGTTGATCAGGAAATCGCACGACTCTCGTGAGAGTTACGGACTACACAATCCGTCGCTAGCTTTTATGAATTCTACGAGTTCCTCAGCAAGTACATTCTTCAAAGTAGGGAATCAAGGAACGGTGAATGGTTTTTCAATATTACCACAATTATACGTAAAGCCAGGACGATGAATGCTATCTAGCAATATAAGCTATTGGCTGTCGGACAGGATCTGATCAAGATCGATCACAGTCACCCGCGCCAGTCAGTAAGCATGAGTGACTGGTGGACCTCCTTATGCCGGAGCCATAAAGTGCGAGCGGATGCGAATTGCATCTTCGGTTGTCATATCTGGTCCCAATTTCCATCTCCGAGCCACGTACGATGCGGTGCGAGGAGGAGGTGATCATGACAGGCCAAAGCTGTCTCGTCCACGGAGCGACAGCCGCGCTTGAGTCTTTTGGCAGAGCCACCCAAACAATCCTGCCCATCCTTTGGTCTTGTCTGCGGATCACCAGGCCATACACCATCATCTGGGTTTCCATGGACGCTACCGCGAGGTCCGGCATTGTTCCCATCCTCGGGCCCTGGATGTGGGCGTTTTGTACCTCTGTTGAGACGACCAACGCTTCTCAGGAGAGAATCATCGTTATCATCTTCCAAGTCATCGCTTGTATAAAGGTCCTGCAACTCTCGAAGCTGTCTCTTGATCTCCGGGTCAAGCAACTTGACTTGTAGTGTACCCAGGATGATGAATGCGTGGCGGATTGTATACATTGGCTCCCCGTACCATTGCTTCAAATGTTGTAGATGCTTAAAGATGTCTAAATACCTAGATTATAAGGTTGGGAAAATTAATGCCTTCTGAAATGGGTATAGGGACTTCTAAAGTGAATTAAATCTAAAGTGAATCTAGAGTGAATCTGAAGTGAATCTGAAGTGAATCTGAAGTGAATCTGAAGTGAATCTGAAAAATTGGCAGATCTCTTGGCCGCTAGTTTAGGGGGTGGATGAATCTTTATAGAGTAGACTAACTACATAGTTATTGTATACAAATTGTATGTTTGTCACCCGTACAGATTTAGCAATTATGACTTTCTCTACCCTTTCAGCCTCGACTCCTGCCCGAGTATACTTCCATTACTCAATACATGCATGTCTTGCTAGAGAATGAAGAAGAGAAAAAGGTATCATTTAAATCTATAACCATAACTAAAGCAAATCAAAATATTACTCGGCATCCAAAAGAGCAACAGGAGCCTGATCATCAACCTGAATTCCACCTCTCTTCTTCTCATTACTATCCCAGAAAGGCAACTTCCAGCCACCCTCATTCTCAGGCGTCGCCAACCAAAGACGCATAAGGTGGCGACGGGGTGCAGGAGGTGCATGATCCGTGTATGCGGTACGGGCGTGCAGAACGTGCGCATTCGACAAGAACTGAATATCACCGATATCAAGAATCATGTGCAGAGACAAGCGCACACAGGTTTCTTCCAGCACGCGCAGGGCTTCTTGCTGTGCGTCCGACAGCGGGGGGATGATTCCTGCGTCGCTGAAGCGGCCGAGGGAGCGGACGTAGTATGGGTCCCATCTGGTATTATTGTTAGATACTGATGGTTGGAGGTGGAGGGCGGCTGGGTGGGGCTTACTTTGTGTAGATACGGGCGTTCTCGCCGCGCTCGAGGTAGATCACGCTGGTGCGGATGTACTCGTCCTGTCCTTTACTTGTCTCACCCTTGCGGTCGAAGTACCAGATTGGTTCAGTGAGGGTCTTGAGGACGTCTGGGCGTTCTGTGGCGAGGGTGTTGTAGACGTGGTGGGAGGAGACGAGGTCTGATTCGCCGCCTTCGAGGGCTTTGGCGATGCAGAGGAGGCCGACGATGTCGGAGTCATCGGCGTGGAAGTATTGACTAAGTTGGGGAGGGGGTGGTGTTAGTTTATTGTTCGTTTGCGCATTTACTGGGAGACCGAACTCACCGAGCATTGGTGCGGTAAATGCGCACTTTGTCAATCTGGGTCGAGTCCTCGCCGAGATCCTTGACGTGGCCGAGGACATGACCGCGGCTGTTCTGGCTGACGAAGTAGCCGAGATATGTACCGAGACCCATGTATGCCACGGCGGACTTGTGGTTGCCCCATTTCTCGACGGGGAAGCCCTTGAAGAGGATGAAGCCCTTGCCGTCGATGAGGTCTGCGCGCAGCTCGTGCAGGTAGGCGGCTAGGTTGGGGAGTTGGAAGTTGGTCTAATTAAAAGATGATTAGTTTCTCTGTTTTATAGTTTCTTAGAGGTAAACTGTGATGTTCTCACCTTTGAGATTCCCGTCAGCGGGGTCTTGGATGCGAGGAAAGCATCCGATGCTGTGCTCAGCTCATCGATCTGGTCCTGGGTGAAGACGTGCGTCCATTTTTCTGGGTTCTCGCGGTAGTCTTCTGCCTTCCAGACTGTTGGACCGTCGATTTGTTTGGGGAACTTGTCGAAGGGGATGATGTGGTCGTATAGTGGGGGATGTTGGCCGGTAGTTTTCAGTCCATCAGGGAACAGATCCCATGAGATGGGCCCCCGAGATCATGAGGGGCAGTTGGGAGAGAGGATGTAGCAGCGGGAGCCATGGTGGACAGTTAGGACAGTTATTATCGAGGGAAATATTATGTATAGATGAAGCACTAAAATACAGGGCCGTTGGTTATTTATATGTTTGTCCGATCTATGTAGATGGTGAGCAATGTAGTGGATTATATGGCGTGACAAGATCCGATAAGTTTTAAGGAAGAGTATTCTTAGTATTTTTCTTGTATAGCGGAATGAGTTCTACTAAACAAATGAAGCTGATTGGAAGTTCAAGGGCCGGGATGGCGCAATTTGCGGGGTGAGATGTTGTGATGGCAGTGGGGGATCACGTATATTGGGAGATATTTGACATATTGGATGATATTTGAGATAGTATATTTGTTGAGTAGTAATAGAGATAGGAATATAAAGTAGTAATATAACAATTCAAGTTGAAATAAGGACAAGGTAGAGGATTTTAGTATAATGTATATATTCACATACTATATGTTTAAATATACAATTGCACCTCTTGAACATCCCAACCAGTCATAGTCTCGGCCGATAGACTAAGATTATCCATTATCCTTTAGCACAACATATTCTGACCACAACCGATCGTACGTCGTGTAGGTCGTGCATGAACCAGCTGGTCGGGATAATCAGGTCCCAAAGAAGAAGTACTCTAGGCAGATCTGATTTATCAATCTTAGAACTCATGTGAATAATCTATCGGGCGAGAGGTTTAAGTTTTCTTCACGTTTTACTATATCTCAAACCACTTGGCTTCTTATATAACTAGGTAGCTACCTCCGAATATTACATTTGTTCTTGCTCTCGTGCTTCTTGGACTTTTACTTTTGTTTTCCTTCTGCCTATTTCAACCTGGTTTTCCTTTCCTTCCTTTTTTACTGTCTTCTCTAAGCTTTCCATCGGACCTAACTATTTCATGACCTTTGTCTCTTGACATGTTCCTGATGTTATGCCTGGATCCTCAGATCTTTTGCAGACAAGGATTCACTTTCCTCTTTGGGATGCCCCACCAGATTACGGAGTACTCAAATCCTTATCGGGAATGGGGATGCGAACACCCTTTGACAACTTGAATTTTCATATTTGTAGACTCGCAGATCATACTCTTTCGTTTAGAACTTTGCGTCGATTTGAATAGAGAACATCCAAGCCCATGGCTCAACACAAGATCCATGTGGCCGTGCTAGACGCCGACATTCCCTGCCTCTCATTATATAAAGCGCGAGGGTTATACAGCTCGCAATTCCGCGTCCTACTACAAGCAGCCGCTCAGCGCCTGAACAAAATACCAGAAACTCTCAAAAATGGACATCTCGCCGTCCACGTAACGGCTTTTGATGCCGTAGGCGGGTCCCTACCTCCTCTGGAGACCCTACGGACTAAGCCCCAGTCCCCAGCCGAGTTTCACGCCGGCGGACCATTGAGTCCAATAGATGCAATCCTAATCACGGGTTCAGGATTCTCAGCCTATGAAGATGAACCCTGGATCCACGCGATGCAGTCCTACATCCAAACAGTGCACGCCCACTACCCAAACATAAAGCTCTTCGGCTCCTGTTTTGGGCACCAGATAATCGCCCAATCCCTCCTCGGCACCAAAGCAAACCCCAACAACCCACCAACATCAACATTGTACGTCGAGCAGTCCCCCGCCGGCTTCGAAATGGGCATCCAGCCCATCACCCTCCAGCCCTCTTTCACTGCGCGTTTCCCGCCTCTTGCGCGCGCTACAGCTCAGAACCCATTCCGCATTCAGCTCATCCACGGCGATGCAGTTGTATCGACCCCCGAGACTGAGACTGAAGCTGCCGCGGACCAGGCGGGAGTCTCGCTGCCGGCGCCGTGGTCTAGTATTGGGAGTAGTGCGCAGTGCGCTATCCAGGGTCTTTATAACCCCGGTCGGGTCCTGACGTACCAGGGTCACTTTGAATTTGATACCTTTGCCAATGAGGAGCTGATGCATGAATTTGGGCGTCGTGGGGGTTGGTCGGCGGCTGTTGTGGCAGAGTATCTGGAACAGATTTATCGTTCGCGCGTTCCTGGGTTGGAGGAGGAGGATGATGATGATGATGCTAAGGCTGCTGCTGAAGCGGTGTTGCTGTTCTTCGCTGGGGAGGATGTGGACTTGATGGAGTGTGGAGGTGGAACTGGGATTATGACGCCTCCGCTGAATTGATTGGGTGGTTTTTTATATTTATATTTATATTTTTACGGTTGGGGTGAGATGTGACGATGCTTGGATGTGTATTGTATTTAGTGGTATTAGCTGGAGAACTACTTTTTTTTTTTTGATCCATTATTGGGGACTTTGTGCGGCCAAGTTGATTTCTGCATTCCCGTATTTTAGCATTCTGCAGTGGAGTTGTCCTTGGAAGGCAAACTACGCAAGGGTTTCGGATGATACTAAGCATGGAACACGAATCGGAGTTGCGTACAATTATAGTTCGTGCTTAGCTCTGAGCCACCCCTTAGTGGCGACACAATGGGTTACCATGATGATGTTGGACCCTGCATGGCTGAGACGTGGTATGTTGGTCTGCAGGAAGGGATTAATATATAGTACAAGGATGGAAATAGAATTAGGTACAATGGTCATAGTTCTTAGATCTGTACCATGTTACCATACATGGAGTACTTATTCTAGACTGCATGAAAGCTACCTATGTTGTAGGTGTACACCTTAGAGATGAATTCTTAAGATCAGATACACAGTAGCCCACAATGGAAGTCTCGGCTCACAAGCTCTCCACCTTGTCATAAAATTTAAGTGGAGCGTGACATGCTTGACATTTGTACTCCATAGTGTACGGATAGATAGTGTATAAGTCTGATAACAGCTAACTAACGTTATAACTGGTTAGTTAACTCATATACTATACTATACATATATTATTGTCAACGGTACTGCAGAATACCAAAACCAAAACCAAAACCCTCGAACTTGAAATCTCAGACTTTTCCGTTGATCCCCCTGCGCGGCCACCCAGAACCGGGATGGCGTGAGAGTTACACCAATGAGAATGGAGGTAATTGGAGACTCGGTGGGGATTGGGGGCCAATCAGGCTGCTTTGGGATGCTCTTCATCGGGAGTTGGTTATACAGGGTAATTAGGGTATTAGAGGGGTATTTTGGTATTTAGGCATTCAAGTAACCTGGAAAGCTGTGCCTTTATCCGATTAAAGTTAAGGGTAAAAACGGAGGAGATCGGAGCTGGGACAGGTACTTGAGAGATATTTGAGAGATTTATATAAGAGTGAATGTGGTTCTAGAAGTATGTGCAGGGCATAACTCACGCGCTTGCTTATACCTGAGCACACTAAGTGCTTGAGTACACCTCCCCGAGGCCCCTTTTTTGGTCTGAATTACTACTACTATATATATATTTATTTATACGGAGCTTTTATTGTATGTTCGGTCTTAAGAATAGGTACACATACAATATAATATGAATGTATACGTTCTATAAAATTAGAACAATTAATAAACCATGGAAATAAATAATACCACCCGTAATATTACACTGTAACGTGGCGCTAGTTCGCCACCCGGAGCTTCCCTCCCTTCTGGAATGAAGCTCAGGAGCTGGGGAGAGCTTCGGAGGGGCCGCTGATAGCGCCTATCGCGATGTAATTTCTTCTTTTTTTTTCTTTTTTCTTTTTTTTCCTTTTGCTCGAAGCTGTGAATTATATGTTTATATGCTATCTAAGTTGATGTATTTTAATAATAGTCCGAATAAAGCATTAGAAGCATCCAAGGATGTCACCAAAAAAAAAGTCAAGGCAATGAAAATCGCTTGAGCTCGGTGTTCCACCGGGGTTTCCGAAAAGCCGTGCTATTCGGTATTTAAATACCATTACCGTACGGTTTCTTCTCCCCCTCAATCGTTTCAAATGTTCTCTCTCTCCCTTTTTTAATAGTATCGGTAATAGTACCAGTAATACTACGTAGCATGGAACATTCCAAGAATGGGGGATTTTTACAAGGGAAGCTCAAAGCTGCACGCCCCTCTTTTTGGTTATCGATACTCGATAGGGAACGATAGCCACGTATGCGAGCACATAGCTAACTATAGTAAACTACTAACTAACTAACTATATAATTATAAAGGTTAGAATAGAAACTGTTCCTGACTAGGATTAATAGAATTAATTAGAACTGTACCAGAACTAGAATTTTAGATATAGAAAATATTATAAAAATACACCAAAAAAAGAAAAAAGAAAAACCAAAGAACAAGAACGGGGCAAAAAATAGAATAAGGCGAAAGTCTGCGTAATTACCCGTAATACCCCCAGTGTGTGCACTCCCACAAGCCCAAGTAACTCTCTGAATGTATGAGCCGCCCTCTCATCCTTTTTCCTCTTTTTTTTTTACCATTTTCCAATTCTTCCCTTCTTCTCTTTTACCCAGAGCATGTTGAACTGCATTTTTGTCTATTGTTCACATATAAACCCTGTCTGTGCTTGGCTGACTTCTTTATTCGCCCCTCCTTTTTTTTATCTTTCGGATGAAACATATGCACCATGCCTCCTCGAAGCTCACTGACCAGCTCCTTCTCGGTAACCGATGCTAATAATGAGGTGGTCTGTCCCTTGAAGAACAACGATAATTCCAATTGTCGCAAACGATGTCTCGGTGTGAGTATTGGTCCTTGAACCTCCCCCACCCCCCACCTATCACCTTGCTTGCGACAGCTATACCCCGTACAACTCTGGAGTTCGACTTGAACTAATCCGGTTGGTGCTCTAGGAAAAACGCTATCGCTCCATGCAGGAGCACATTCGACGTGCGCATCCGAACCATTACATCCCGAAGCTCCCGGCTACCGAGGAGAGCTTCCTGATGATGGTGAACACCCCGCTCGAGCAACGGGTGCAGCTGTCCCCCCCCGAACCCGCTCAACCCCGACGACCTCACGGTGAGTTTCTTGCTTTGATGGTCCTGTTTGCTCGCGAAATACTGACGGCTACCCACAGATGTGGCACCGGAAAGGGACATCTATGTTGCTGACGGTTCCCCGGCTACCCCTCGAGCTCTGGATGAACCCCACCCAGCTGCGGCTACTGCGGCGGTTGCTCTGGCACAACTTCACCACCATCGACTGGCCTCGGACTGGGATACAGACATGGTTTGTCGCTCCAGACTGTTGTGGGCTTCGAGGCCTGAGTCTCTCCACAGTGGCACTGACCCGCATTTCCCCAGGATACCCATTCGGATACCGACTTGAGTCATCCTCGCCTGCGCGGAGCTATTGAACTTCCCCCACTCCGCGACCATTTCAAGCAGGAATCTCTTCCACCGTTTACGCCTCGTCCGCGCGAGCTTCTTCCATCTATCCTCAATCACTCCCCACCCGGTCGCTCATCCACATTACCGCCAATCCAGCGGAGAGACAAGTTTTGCCGCCCGCGCAAATCGTCCATCACTCAATCTGCCCGAAAACCCAAGCAAGATCGCCCTAAGTCAAAAGAATTCGGGCGGCGACCAAGCCTCGGTGACCGCAAAGCCCTTTCAGCAGAGCCACAAACCGCGGCCTGGGCGCAAGGCAAGCGCTGGGAGGATTTGATTGAAGCCGCGACGTCAGCAACCGAAGTAGACGATGAGCCCTATTCAGAGGTGAGTTTGAATGCAATCTTGGTCCCTTTTTTCTTTTTTTTCCGGTGCTGATGCGCCAAATTTAGGCTGGTCGGTCTCCAACGATTGCCCCACTACTTTCCAACGTGACGTCTGCTCCCTCTGGAGTGAAAAATCGATCCTCGCTACCACCCGCTTTCCAATCCGCAGGATTACCTCCTATTTCTTCACATCGGCAATTCCCACCGCACTCATATGCTGCCTCGCCTTTACACAAATCATTGACCCCACCACCATACGAGAACCACCGCGGCCGTGAAAGCGACTTGGAACCATTCCCATCAATTGAATCATCGCTCGATTCTATGTCTTCAGCATCTGGTAGAAATTTTGCATCATCAGTTTCGGGAGTCGCGCCGTCCATAAATTCTGATTCCAGCCCAGTTATGAATCTTATCCCGTCCATTTCCCAGCGCCAACAACACCGATTCTCCAATCCTACTCCGGCGTCTTTCCGCAACAAAGAGGTTCAGGTGTTCTGCGCTCAGTGCAAACGACCTTCAGCACTGAACGAGTGCTATGCCTGTACGGAGTGCATATGTGGAGTCTGCCGCGACTGCGTGGGCATGTTCATTTCGAGTCCGCCTGCTTCATTCCGAACTCCGGGGAATGGCCCATTAAATAATGCCCCGTCACAAGGACCGACAAGTTACCCTGGTCCTCGCGGATGCCCACGATGTCGAACGGTGGGAGGCAAATGGAAGGCCTTCCAAATCGACATCAAGTGAACGACTTCAATAAGACAGCCTACGTTTTTGGCTTTACGCATTTTACGACTGATGTTTATTCCACGTTCATTCTCACATTGTTATTTATTCTTCATCATTCGGTCGGCTTTTCTGATTTTGTGATTTTTTTTCCACTGCGATTTGGCAGGATCCATCTTCCAGACGATGTTGCAGGAGTTTTTTTTTTTCTTCCCCAGACCAGGTCTTTTCGGTGCAGGTTTCCGACAGTCAAAATCCCGAAGAAGCTGGTCTTCAACATTCAAGGTCTACATTTTCTTTCTCTCCGCATTTTGGTTCATGTGGACATACTCTTTTGGTTATGAGATATATGCTTTTGATGCTTTTTCAAGTCTTTGATGTGATGCGAACCTGTACTGCAATGATTTCATTCTGCCGCGTTGTTTATAGAAGAGAGCTATAGCCGTGGGAGGCAGCCTGTCCGTCCCCGCCATCCAATTCTTGATTTATATAACTACCAATTCACTCATCCCAGATGACACTGCTGAGACCCTCTGCAGTCCCCACCTTCCCGGGCTCACCAACTTGTAGAGAAGCAACCTCCTCACCCAGATTCCCAGTCTCCGGATCCCGACGCACAATCGCCACCGTCGCAGATGCCTGATTCCCAATGGCAACCAGATCCCCGGCCCGATTAATCACAAAAGTCCGCGGCACCTTCCCAAATGCGGAAGACGAGTCTCGCAACTCCACCGATCCATCTACCGGCGACCGATCAAGCACAACGATGGAATCATTGGGCTTGAACCCCTGATCAGTCCGAATCGAAACATAAAACTCATTCCCGATCCTACTAATCTCAGCCGGTGTCGCACCCTCAGGCATAACACCCCCGGGATACGGCACAAGCGTTTGCGTCTTCTCGAAAGACAAACAGCCAGACCTCGAATAAGAAACATCAAACACCATTATCGTACCCCCGATCTCGTTAGCCAGATACAACATCGTCTCGCCGACAGCCCCGGCCTTCCGCGAATGCGTCGACCCAGCCCCAGCCGACCGGTTAGTGTCATCTGTCCAGAAAACACCGTGCCGTGGGCCGCTACCGTAGGTAATGTTCAGGCTCGGACACTCTGAGAGCTTTCCCGACGGGCCATCTTGGATCGCGTACACGCGCAACAAATCCGCGCCCAGGTCCGGACTGAGGATGAACGAGCCGGTCGGGTCGAGGAAGACTTGGTGCGGGTGTGGGGAGTCCTGCTGGGCAACTTTGCCCGGCCTGGTCAAGTTGAAATGGAAGGCTTGCAGGGCTGGTTGGTTTTGTTTGATGGGTAGGGCGAAGGTTGAAATGGCCGATCCTTGGCTATTAGTTTGTTAGTACAGGCCCACATTCAGCACATCCAGCACAATCATGACCAACGCAAGGCAAAACCTTAATCTTGGGAAGGAATGTAGGTCTGAAGGAAAAGAGAAAAGAAAAAAGAAAAAAAAAAACAAAACATACTAATGCGCAATTGCGATGAACTCCTTTCCGGCATCCGACTCATAAATCACACTATTCACGCCGCCACCGACAGTCTTTGCGACAGCGCCTTCGCGCAGTGTGCCGTCTGGTTTGACATGCAAGGCCGTCAGTGAGCCGTGCGTGGAAGCATCGGCCGTGCCATTCTCGTCGGAGCAGTAGACGGTGCGGGTGTGCGCATCTAGGGTAAGCCAACTTGGCATATCCCCGCAGGTGTTGAGGGTTTGTGATAGGGAAAGGTCATTGTTTTTCAGCGTTAGGCTATAGACATTGCCATTGTAGTGGGTTGCCCAGAGGTGGGCTGCTGATGTTGTTCCTATGGCGGATAGGATTGGAAGGAGGGTTTGAAGGTGCATTTTGGCTGAATTGGTAGGTTGTTGCTACCTATGAGATTTGATGTGGGCTGGATTTGTATATAAATACCTAATATCTAGGTAGTAGATGTAGTAGATGTACTCCGTACGATGGGGGAAATGTGAGAGACGCGATGGGGGATCGGCGGTCCCTGACTGCAGGAATGGATCGAGGGGGAACAGGGGAGAAAAGGGTAACATTGCCTTTTTGTATTGCTTTAGTCTGTTTCAGTTGTGCATATTGTGCTTATATTGTGCTTATATTGTGCTTATATTGTGCTTACAGGATTGTATAGGCAGACTAATTTCATATAGTAAGACTACGGAGATATAGCGGGAATTAATTAGGGCTAAGGGGGCTGAAGGGCGAATAGGTATGATCGCATCTATTCTCCCCCAGCCACATTGTCATTTTCGTCACGGCTAAAGATATAGAATACTACTCCGTACTTAAAACTAGATGACGGCAGATGGACGGCCAGAAATGGCCGGTTCGGAGGCCATTTGCCAACTGTTCTGCCACTCACCTCGACATTTACACCGACGCACCCTCCACCGGACCTCATCGGCGGCTTGGCTGGCGCCTAAACATTCTTACTGAGAAAGCTCCCGTAAAGGATTACTACGAGGCAACAAAGAATAAAAAAGGCCCCTAGAACAGCTCACTATCAGCTAGCCATTTTTTGTTAAGGCAGCATTTATATTAAAGAGCGCATAATATATATAAATTCACCCTGCTCCGAGATTGACCTGCTTTATCATTCTGCCGCTATTCTTTACCTTTTGTCACTATTTCCTTAAACGAGATTAGCCTTACCTTCCTACATTCGGAAAATCTAAGGACACATTGCCTCCGAATACTTCCGCGGCCATGATTCGGATACGTCTTGTCATTATTTCCCTTACTATCACCTAGCTAGCCCTTTCTAGTCTCAGCTCGGCCACTATACACTTTGCGGTCCTCCTGCGAGACCGTACTAAATCCGACCTCGTAACGCCGAGCGACTCTATTTTAGACATTTCTCAGATGAACTGAAGGCTACGCAGGAAAAGAAGTTAACCCGTAGGGGAATTGATATTGTAGACTCTGGAGAGAAAGAAAGGAAGAGAGAGAAACTAGCTACGGTCTAAACCATGAGTCAGTCCTATTTCCAGCACTAAGAATGTCGCCGACCGCTCAGACGCTTGGCCCACACCGTCATTCCACCATTGCCTCCTCTATTTGCCCGCAGGAAATATGGCACGTACAGCAGGCTCTTTTCATCGCCGTACTTCCATGGATTTGGCGCATAGAGCTCGGGCTTGCCTTTCACCACTTCCCTTCCCGTTGCCCGGACTGGAATCACGCCCTTTACTGCGGCAATGTCAATCGGCTCCGCATCACTTAGAGAATCGTCTAATACACCGACATGGTCGATATCCACATCGTTATCGACGCCTTCAATGCAGTATACCAACGGTCCACGCATGATACAAATCTCATCCTTTCCCAATGCTGGGTTGGGATATATCTTCCGCGCCTTGACATTGAAGGATAGCTTGACTTCCAAGTTTTCGGCCTCAGAAATGTACAGATAACCTGATCTGACCTCTCCTTCGACAGAGCTCGTGTATCCTTCCGCCCAAGTGGGAATCCGCAAAGCTAGTGCCGTTGTACCCTTGACCATGACCTGGACGTCTCCCGACCAAGGCATGCTCGTTGTTTGGGAGACCACAACATCCGTGCCGGGAACTGAGATTTCGCTTTCAATGTAGAGGTGGATGGCGACAATGTTTGCTCTTATCGAGTAGATGAGCGATCCCATAGACGCAAGCAGCTTGGCAACATTGAGCGGGCAGCAGGCCACTTCAAACCAGTTGCTTCGCTCTTTCTGATGACCACAATAAGTCCTCAACGGGTTTTCGTAATAGAAAGACCCGCCGTCTAGACCAACCGCGCCGAGAAACCCGTTATACAGGGCAATCTCCAGGACGTCCGCGTATTTGACATCCAGTTCGAGTTGGAGCATCCGTTGACACCAGAGGACAAGGGCAAAGCATGCACATGTCTCTGCATAACATGTGCCAGATTCTTCTGTATCGCCTAGCACATACTTGCCGCCAAATCCTTCCCACTGCCGCATCGCACCAATTCCACCGGTCACGTACAGCTGTGCAGCGCGAATCATGTCGACGGCCTCTTCGACGGTCGCCATCAGTTCCGGATCATCGTTCTTCATGAGAAAGTAGCACGCTGCCTCTACTATCTTGTATATGTCACTATCCCAGAATGGCTGACATGAAAAAAGGTTAGCTTCGACAGTTGTAGTACCTTTTGGCTGAGCAATAAACTTACATGCGGTTGAATCTCATGGCCTTCTTTCCAGGTCAAACAGTACCAGTGCTGCAATGACTTTTGAGCCTTGATGATTGCAGGAATTGTCTTCTCCTTTGAGCAGCGTTGCATCTGCGACCAGAATACCGATGTGATGTCAACACTGCGAACTGGAACTTGCTGGAACGCCATTTTCGAACTGTACACGGTGATGCAAGCCTGCGAGATCTTGGAGGATATAAGCGATTCGAGCTGAGAGCAGGACAACAACGTGGCTTTAAAATCAATAAGCACACCCCCCCCCCGGTTAAAATCGAATGGTTTACGAGAATGGTTAGTTCGCGCCGTTACCTTCTCACCCTGGCGATAATGCTCTGCGACTAACTCCTGTTGGATACTTTGTAGAATGGGGCTGGGGCGCCAAAACTGGCCTCTTCTACGCGGGAACGAACCTCGCCTGCTTTATCTGGTGCTGGTTCCGGCTGCCAGAGACGAAGGACCGTGCGTTCGGTGAGATTGATCTGCTTTTCGAGAATCGTATTCCGGCGAGGAAGTTTAGGACTGCCAGAGTTAATCGTAAGTTTAGTGATATCGACCAATATCCTGTGGAGTGTCAGTGACTAACCGTATATCGATAGAATTTGCGCATCAGTCAGATGTTACTGGCAAAGCTGGCAATGAGCATGTTGAGAACGTTGCATGAGGTGCAGCACTGGGACTATGCATGTGTTGTGTGTACATGGTACAGGCAGTGACATGAAGGTCAAGTAATGATTTTAGTGTACCTTGTAGTATCCGAAGTGCAGCAGGGAAACTTATTGCATATACTTTTCGTTGGTAATAGCTATCCATACATCATCGCCCAATTACCTTAGTACAATCGCTATTTCGTTAAGCACGCGTAATGGTATACTGTTGCTTTACCACAGATATGCTGGGCTCCGGCCACGCCCACTTTGCATTTGCCCCTCGAGAGGAAAGAACGGCATGCAGATAATGCTAATTGATACGAGTATATACATTCTCATCCCCAGTACATCAATGCGGTACATCAATGCGAGTAGACACGAGGAGCCGTCCCGAGGCGACTGGACATGAACAATGAAAACCTAGCGCTCCAAGCAAGAAGATATAAAACAAGTATACATTTGGACAGTCGTCAATAGAAATCATTCCGACTCATGATTAAAAGGATCTGAACCCTGCTCCTCCTCCCCGAAAAGTTCTTTCCACCATACCCCCCTCCCCGGCGACCCCACAATCAGCGGACTGTCACTCAGGCCACTAGCATTACTATTGCTAGGGGTAAGATCGAGATCCTCATGCCCCTCCGGTACGTTATTCATATACCGGTTCAAAAACGCAATCATCCAGAAATCCATATCAAAATGCCTCTCGGACCGCTCCATCAGGCAAGCGCGATGGAACGCGCGGAGCCACGAAAGCGACAACTGCAGACTAGGCCAGTATTTCTGAAGCTGCAGGAGCATGATGAAGTTATGCTCCAGGACTAGGCGGGCAGATTCAAGCGCCGAGGCATGTGTGTCGAAGAGCATGGAGTGTAGGTGGATTGACGAGGCGATGACTAGGAGGTGCCCGTTGAGTGGGGACCAGAGGCATTGCGTTTCTGGTGTTGAGTTGAGATTCCACATTATCTCGCTTAGTCTCGTCGCGTGGGATTTGCATCTGCCTGCGCATTGGATGGCCTCGGGGTCTGGTTGCATTGATGGTGATGTCCATGTTGATGTGGAGGAAACGGCCTTGTGTAGGAATTGGTAGTACAGCAACTGGGACTGGTGGTGGTAGAGCATGTGCATAGCAGCAAACTCACGATGCCGCCCTCGTTCTGTTTGAACCTGCCAGTTCTCTGGTGTATCGCGGAGTCCATCCGGTAGAGACTGCAGCCAGTAATCTAATCTCGCGGTGAGTACTGCCACCCGGTCCCGAATCTCTCCACGGGCGAGGCTCTGGCGCGCCAGCTCATCATTAAAGAGAACAACTTGCCCGTGAATCTCGGTTAATGGAAGGACTAGGCTCCAGAGACTGCCCTCTCGCAAACCCTCCTCGACTATACGATCTTCGGTGTGCAGATCCGGTGGCTCTGTTGCTCGCATTGCGGCAAACGCGCCCTCTTCCAGTGGAGGTTTGAAGTCCGCGCCAACCTTTAACTGCGTGGGGAACTGCGCTTGCACTGAGTGCCAGGTATCCATCATCCAGCACTGCCAGAACACTATCATCCTCTAATTAGAAGTCAAGATGACGAAACTAAAGGATGGTGGACTCATGGCGGATCTCTACCTCTCTGCGAATAGGTTCTGAGCTGAGCACCATTGGCAGCTGCAAGACCTGCACCATGCGAATAGCCTGTGCACTGAGCAGCGTATCCTGGACAGCATCCATTTCAACCAAGGAAACGAACGCGAGGAGGCACCCTTGTAGGGATTCTATATCGATAAGTTTGGGCCGCATATTGAACGCCTGCACGGCGCGCTGCAGCCAGAGCCTACCCCGATCCCGTGGGGTAAAACCGTCGAAGAAAGGATGGGAGGAAAAGCTAACTACCAGTTAGATAGCACGGACTTTGGCTGCTCATGAACGTTCCATCAACTCACCTGGCCATCAAGGCAACCATACCCAGAACCAGAAAGTCCGCAGCCCGGCCACGCCGCTGATCCTGAATAAAAGTATAGAGGTGGAATATGATGTGTTGCTTGTCGTGGACGAGATCGAAATAGAGGTCTACGAGTTCGTCACAGACCGCTGTGGGAATGTCGCTTGAGCATGGGCCAGCGCGCGGTCCTGAATCATGGTAAAGTGCAATATTGTCCGTATTAGTAAGTTGAACTGTGTACGGTGAGGCGAGAAGATCACATTGCCATCTTTTCAGAGTGCAAAACTCGCACGGCGCTCCTGTGGTGACGGGAATGCATTTCCGCTTGCGCTACGAGCTTGTTTGATTAGGTGGAATGATGCTGAACATGAGAAGGCGACGCACCGACAAGAGGAGCACGCAGACACGGGCCACATTTTGCCGAGTATCACTAGTAGTACGAGTAGTAGCTTTCTACAAGAGTTGGAGGACACAGGCAATTGGAGAAAGAGGCGGAGACGCTGCGGGGGAGTGGCCGGGACCACCGCACTTCTCCCAGAGCGGGGCTTGAGGTATAGGGGTGGATCACCTGACGCCCACTATTCGAACGAACGCTCCGCCAGTGGAATGTCCCCAGCTCCTTACTACCGAGCAAGCGCCAGCAAGCGCCATCTGAAAACAGATCTGGTAAAGAAAGCCATCATTTACGACGAACTTTTGTGACGTGATATCCTCGCAAGCCGTGCTCTAATTCACTTGTGGTCATAGCAGGCATGCACCTAAACCATTTTCCCCAAAGCAAACATGACATAAGCACTAATTAGAGGTGGAGAATTCAGAATAGGTCGTAGGGGACAGTCCAAGAGGTCTCACAGCCGGATGGCTCTTGGTGATGTTGTTACAGACATCAAACCTACCTTCACGGTGAATTGCTCGAACAGTGATATGCCAGATATCGTCGGGGACGCGAGGGGTTTGAGAAAACATCATCGAAGCTCAAAGGACAGTGGGTTCGGGGGACGTAGACAATTTGGCGATTTGCTGGCAAGACCCGCCTACGCCGCCAACTGCGACATGTTAGAAGACGGAATCAATGGACAAAGGATACACGATAGCTTGACTAACCTGCAGCTGCAGTGACATTCAAGGTAGATGGGTTTTGCACATAGTGCTCGGGCTTGGACATAAAAATGCAGGCTTAGGAATCAAATCTACCAACCATCTGTCCAACAGGGAGGAGACAAACACTTCTGACAGCCGTCATGATGCAGCTCCGTGTATGTCCGATTGGTTCGTTTCCACTCGCTCGTATATGTCGACAAGCCCAGCAACGCGGAGATATAGTTAACTATTAACTATAAAGTACTACTTTCAAATGCAACGTGCTATGCAATGTACTATTTCTGACGTTCTTAGCTTGATTTCACCCCCATGTTGCGGGGGGTTTCCCTCATCATTAGAATAGGAGAATAGAGAGGGGTAGATCGAAAGGAAACCTATTCTAAGTTGTATACATTATTGACATATTTCTCTAAACAAGAGCCAACCCAGTATAGCAAACATCATTGCGCACAACCCCAGTCTTAACTCCATCATCTAATGACACCGAGTACAAGCTACCACCCAGGTCAGCCACATACACAATGTTGCTCGCCTTATCCAACTTTAAGCCAATAGGTTCATTGAAGTGACGAGCCAGAATCACCTTCTGGAAATCCATCTCCTCACCACCGACATACGCGCGGTTCAGCGTGCAGCCGAAAGGGTGCTCACCACGATCCGTCCAGTACAGAGTCCGACTCTCGCTATCCAACTCAATATCAATAGGCTCAGGGAGGTTATTCCACAGACGCTGGATATCAGTCCGATTCTCGGCGGTCTCCCCCTCAGGAATATCCAAGTTAGCACAGAAGATCTGACCGAGACCAGCCTTGCAAGGCCCCTTCTGTGTCCAGTACAAGAGACCGCGCTCAGCATCGACAGCAACGCCCACACACCAAAGCGTCATCTGATCTGACAGACTGGTACCAGGCTCCACACGGCGCTGAACCAGGATAACGTGGTTACTACCATCATAATCACAGCGATGCACGCTTATGCCCTCACGGTCACAGAAGTAAATATGTTTCTGCGACTCGATAACGGCGAGCTGCTTGGGCGTGTGTACCCCTCCAACGGGGACAACACACGTGATATCGGCGCCATCCAAATCAGCAGACCAGACAGAGCCATCACAGGCCGCCGGGTTGCGACCCATACTCGTCCAGAAGACGCGCTGCGTCTCCAGTGACACGTCGATACCGTCGGGCATGTTCAGACCGACAACGATGGGGGTGAGCTTTTGTGTTGCGAGGTTAAGACGCACCATTTGGCCATTGGAGTGCACCTGCGAGACATCCTTGGCATTTCCGCCGAGCCCGGAATCCAGCAAGTAGATGTCTTTCGCTGCGCTGTGCGGGTTTGCCGGGGTTGCTTGTGCGGAAGATGATTTCGCGAGCGGGGGGTAGAGGCCGCCCTTTTCGCTCTTCTTGCCGAGACGGTTTTGCTCGATGTATTCTTTGCGTAGCCAGTCGACGGTTGGGGCGGAGCGAAGACCCCTCTCTCGGATGTAGTTATCTTCGATGAAGGCAATGGTGTCGAGGCCGACTTGGTCCATCAGTTGGCAGGGGAGAGGGCCGTTCCTGAACATGTTTTCCCAGAGTAGGTCGATTTCACTGGGGTCGCTGACACCTTCGGAGAGAACTTGCAGGATTTCGCGCTTGACTGCAGCCCAGATGCGGTTGAAGATGAATCTATACGGGGTTGGGTTTAGTCTACTGTACTGATATATGGATTTTCTTTATCTGTTTTTGCAAGGGTGATACATACCCGGTCGATTCGCGGCGAGCTGTCACTGGCAACATGCCACACTCACCTAAGACAGTCTCCAAGTAAGGGAAGGCCTCGGGATCGGTTTTACCACAAGTCATCAGTTCGACGATGCGGATAGAAGGAGGCATGGCGAAGTGAATATTGAAGACCTTATTCTGGCGCTTGGGAGAGACCTTAACAAGCATCAAGGTTGACTTCATCGAGGAGCTGTTGGAGCCGATGTAACAATCGGTCGGAGCGTACTGATCCAACTCCCCCAAAATATCAATCTTCAGCTGCAGAATCTCAGGCACGGCCTCGATAATCAACCAAGCATTGGAAATGGCGGGTTCGAGCTCGGTAAAAGTCTTGCAGTTACCGTAGGGCGCAGAAGTATACGACTCGAGATCAACCTGGGAAATGGCAGCCTCCTCCTTAGTGCCATCCGCCTTTCTCCCATTATCTTCTTCGCGTGCCTTGTGAATGCGCGGCATCAACGAGAACTCGGTTCTATGGTTATCGACGAAATCTGCCGCGTCGCGGAGAGCCACCGGTGAGATATCCCGGATGTGGACATGGTAGCCAGCAGCGATGAAGACACAGGCGATGCGGCGTCCAAGGACACCGCCGCCGATAACTGCGACGGGGCGGTCGGTTCTGGGTTTAACGCCCATATTGGAAATATAGGTAGGAGGAGTATAGGGGGGGAGGTGGCAATATATCTAAGATGTCTGTTGGTACATAAAATGTATGTAGATATGACGTGGACGGCGGAAAAGGCGTGGACTTATTTAGGAAAATATCACCAAGATGAGAGTTGAGTGAAGTCTTCTTTATATGTCTTTCCTTTTATTTTGAGATCGGAATTTACCATGATATCCATCAGTAGGCCTTCTACATACTTATGTCGCACTATACCATCACAAGGTCATTCATTGGATATGTTAGGGCTCGGAAACGTCACGGAAACAGTTCGGAGGAACTCGTAGAACGCGTATTTCTAAACAAGCGTGAAGATTCTTCAGATTCTTCATTATATTGGCCAAGTCTCGGGAACTGTTGTCGATCAGTTCTGTATGCGACGAATTGTGCCCGGATGTTGTATTGGTCAACATTATGTACAACCTATAACCTAACATATGTGGTAGTCCCCCTGCCCCTAATATCCACCCCCGGGGCCCTGGCGCCCCGGCACTTGAGACCTCAACTATGAAATGGGGTGAATTCTAGGTAATCTGGTCCCGGTAGTAACACTGCAGTCACTGGTGGCAGACTCTGTCGTACCCGTGTTAACCGTTGAACTCCACTTAATATTGACTACTAGTGACTCAAGCTTGGTCGATACCTTTGGATGATTATCCTAGAAGCGTGGAGGAAGAATCGAACCTACATATGAGTGTTGACGACATTATTCTTGAGATATCAACCTGAGGTAACCATCAAACTTGACATACTTCGCCATGTCTTCACGTTGGATCCGCTACCAAGAAAATGAGGGGAAATTTAACCGATTTCTGATATTCTATCTATATCTTCCTCTATATCGAATTCCAACCCTTTTTGTACAATTTAGTCCATCCAACGCCCAATAATACCACCCTGCCATTAGAACAGGAAGGTATGATCCATAACCTTGGAAACAGCTTTGAACTGGCGCGGGTCGAGGGGGATTTTTAGGACATTGAGGCTTTGAACCGGAAGAGATGATCTTACAGGCTACAACAATGGGCTTTGTTACGGAGGGATGGCACGGCGTCTTCGAATATAGCTGTCATTCAGCTTTTAAAATAAAATGTTTCGACGAGGATTTGGCATATGCGTGTGACGTGGCGTAGCATTCTAATCACCAAAAGAGGGGTTGTAGATATGTGCCAAGGGAAAAAAAAAAGAAATCTACATCGAGTCGAACCAATGATCTTGCTGTTTGGGGAAGGCGGAAATGTGTGTGCTCAGTCAGACCAATTGCCTTAATAGGCAAACCTGTTAACAATTTCATATTTCAGAAAATATGTTAGGCGACTAATATCACAAAAGTGTTTCAGATGGCGTGCATAGAGTAGACTTAATCGAACCACGCACGAAGAAGGTCAACGCGCTAAACCAAGGGTAATCTTTTTTTTTTTTTTTTTTTGCAGCTTCGATGGTGCAAATGGCAATGACAGTGGAATCTTGGAATGGGATAAATTACCTAAGTGTTGTTCTTATAGTTAAAGCCTCCGCTACGTTCGTACTAGTTCCTTTTTCTACCAATTTCGAATGAACTGATCAGGGATTCACTCAAGTGACCTTCTTCAATTCCCAACCATGGTTCTATGAATCTCTACGGCGTATCAAACCTAATAGGCATAGAAATACGAAACTCACTTCTAACCTACGAGGTAAAATGAAAAATTACTATGGAACAACGAATTAAAAGTCTTTTATAATGAGATTATCGTAGGTCATGACCTCATCTACCGTTCAACATACCTAACAGGATTTGATCTGTGTCTATAACATAATGACAAAGTGGTCATGAGATCTTTGTAATAGGGCCGTATGACATCATTCGCCTTGCTATAGCTCAAGTATATAGAGAGGGCTTTAGTGAACAGAAATTATGATCACAATTTGCCTACGGAATAACAACAAATATTGTCAAACCATATCACAAACAAAATCACAAGAATTTATTATATTCACCATGTCGGACTTCATCCGTAGAGCATCTGACGCGTTCCATCGCCGAACCTCAACCGACTCAACGGATACCCCTACATCCCCTGATCCCCCTAGCGCAGCTCAGCCTCCCGAGCAAGAGCCACAGAATCGAATGTCCGAGTCTACTCAGCCTCAATCTCACGTTAACGAGGCTTTCGCTGGTGTAGCAAATGGTACAACACCACCTTCTCGTCTTTTGTGTCTGCTATAATATAATAACAATATCATACAGATAATGTTACGTCTCCGAAGAAGCACCACATTTGGGGATGGCCACACCACCAGGGAAAGCAACCCGGGACAAAGCAGCAACCTAGCCAGAAGCAACAAGATACTGACTGGGTTGTTGGCACGTAGAACAATCACCGTGCTCGTCGGAGTGACCGGGCTGCTAACATTGAGTTTGTGAAGAGACCGACGAAAAACGCTCTTTTTTTTTTTCTACCTCCCACACATTCGTGCTAAATTACCTTGGTATTATCATTATTTAGCCGCAATTCTTATCTGCCTCTCGGAAATTAATGTTTTTTTATATCTATTACAATCTGTATTTTGCTTTGCAATCAATCCACAGCCAAAAATGGAGATAACCAACAATAATCTTAAAGTTATACAAAGGATCTTAGTGAGGATCTTTGGTCTATTCGGCCGGCCTTTGATATTCAGCCCTATGTAGACTCGATCACATCGCCAAATGACAGGGGTTCTTAATGTGGAATCTAATGAAGATTGTATGAAGAAACAATATGAATAGATTCGTAATGATTGGAGTGGACGGAGGAGAAGAAGAGAGAAGAAGAAGAGGGGAGAGAGAGAGAACTATCTACATGGGTGGATCTGTCTCATAGTGGGTCCATGGGTGCCTAAGGCACCCAGGCACCCAGGCATCCAACAGTTCTCCTGTTGGGGCCGCTATGAAGCTGACACCATGCGTAAGTGATAGCGTGATATGGCTTGTTGTATATGTATAACAGAAGACTTGGAATACAAGATCTGTGGTATTCAATCTGTGGAATAAGAGGGAATAATATCTTATCAAAAATCAATTAATCAATTAACGGTTTTATGAATGCCAAGGCCTAAGAGCTGAACTTTGTGCAAAGTTGGGTTTCATAGGTCTAACGGGGCGAGTCCACACAATGGGTCCTGGGTTCGTTCCTGGGTGGGGGTCTTCGACACATACATTCGGCTTTTGTCACAGTCTAATTACAGGTAACGCAGATCAGGAGTTCCCATACTCCGTACTATTCGCTAGGTTAGGCACCCGGTTAGAGACTATTATTGAACTAAATGCATATCCCTACTCTTATAATGAGCCTACAAAACATGTACTCGTGGACAACTATTCCATATTGTGCTTAGCCGATAAGTAGTAGTATTATTATATTATTGAGAACTCTCAGATCGCCTACTGGCCCCATTACGTGTACATATAGGTGGGTACAGTCAACCCCACTTGCTTGTCAACCTCGTAATTTCGATGAATTTGTGCTTGTGGGTTGATTCGCTTAGACAATAGTGAATTTAAGCATGACAGGTCTGAAAAAGCTATAATTATACAATACCGGGCATCCGACCCCTAAATGCCAAGACTCCTCACTAGTTTAGAACCCTTTTAGAAACCCAAAGGATATTTGCTCCCTGACGATCCTTTTGATTTTAACTGGATTTAGTGTGCATAACTACATGGACTTCCTATAACTAACTACCTAAATAGTTAATAGTTATACGACTTCGTACCACTTACTCAATTGGTACTTCGCCGGGACCACGCTAGTGTCTGCATATACCCCTTTGATATATGATAGTCAATACCTAATTATATATTTATGCTACTCCACTTGATATTACAACATATAATATATGTTATAGGTGATTCCAAAAAGAGGGGCCGAGTAATTATAATTTTTAAGTTTACCGGCACCCAGAAAACACCATTTTCCAACTTGGGTTTTCCACAAAACTGAAACCTCGGAGTTTCACAGAGAGACCGATATCGATATCAACAAAAGCTTTTGATCAACATCCTGCTTAAGCTCCTAAAGGTTCAAAATTCTATGCGGATGGATGTCGAAGTGTCATAATAACAATAAGACTAGCCAAAATATATGTGTGTGGGTCCCTACGTATCTTTTATACAAGAATATAAAATACAAAAAGTACTATTTATATAAGATGCGACTTTGTACTAGCCCACCCACACTGGTAGAAGGTTTGAGTCTAAGAAAGGCTATACTCCCTCACCAACTTCTCTGCACAAATTGCGCCAGTGACATACGCAACGGCCTGCACATGCGCATTCACTAACACCGGCACAACGGACATATCCGCCACACGCAGATTCTCAATACCTTTCACTCTGAAGTCCGGATCCACAACCGCATCCACATCCTGTTTCGTACCCATCTTCACAGTTCCCGTCATGTGCCAGCTTGATGAGATGTTCTGTCGCCAGTATTCGAGTAGATCCTCGTCTGACTCACCCTTAGGCATTGCTAGCTCTGCCACGTTGTCCTTTGTGTAGGATTCATGCTTGACGACACGGAACGAGTCGCGCAAGGCCTCGATCGCCAGTCGGCGGTCGAACGGATGAGCCAGGAATTTGGGGTTAAAAGAGAGCGGAGAGTCAGGATCGGATGATTGCAATGTGACTTCTCCGCGAGTCTGTGCATTGAACAAAAAGACGAGCAGACAGGAGTAGTTCAATGCCTCGGTCGGGAAATCAGGAATGACCCAGTGAACGGGGAAATGGGTGAGGACCTCGTAGTGGGGCACGGTTTCCTGTAAAAGATACTTCTGTTCATCTGCGGGGAGGGCCTTGAATTCTGGAGTAGAAACGAGCTGCTCGGTCAGCTTGAACCAGCCAATTCCCAGCTCGCAGGCAAATTTCGCCCAAGGACCTGTGCCGTCTTCTTCCCATTGCTTCAGCGCGGCGTCCATGGCGGCTTTGTCACCATAAAAGGCTTTTCGGTCTGTGCTGGTTGCTGTGCGAGTGTTAACCATCGGCACGAAGCAATGATCGCGGAGCCCCTGGCCGATGGCGGGTACGTCATGGACAACGGGGATTTCGTATTGCTGGAGTTGGGCGGCGGGGCCTATGCCTGAGTGCATCAGGATGCGGGGATCGTTTAGCGATCCGGCGGATAGAATGACTTCCTTTGAGGCGTAGTCTGTTCGCAACTATTAGTATTTGGTTGACTCCGCAGGAAGGGTAGGTCGCATCTTCACATTTATTCCCGTTCGACTCAACGCCCACAGCCTTTTTGCCCTCCAGGAGGACACGTTGTACAGGGGCACCAGTAATAATAGTCAAATTGTCCAGTTTTTCCCTGACCAAATCTCCTGCGGTCGAGCGCAATCCCTTATGCGCCGAGCTAATCAGCACCGACATACCAATCGGATTTCCTGAATTATGATCCGGGTTCAACGGGAACCCAGCCTGCTCGAAGACATCCAAGAGCTCTGTTAAATCGCGTTCCCACTCCCGCGCAAATCCCACATGCAATGGGCCCTCAGTTCCATGGTTCTCCATCTTTGGATCCGCATACTTTTTATCTATGCCCTCGGGAAGCTCCCCATGGAACGTCTCCAGGTCCTTAAACTTTTGCTGAACACCTCCCCATGCAAAAGTCTCATCGCCAACGATTCTCGCCCACTCCTGGTAATCGTCGCGCGCGCCGATACTATACACGCCAAAATTGATGGAGCTCGAGCCGCCCATGCACCGGCCACGGCTGTAGTCGATCTCACGGTTGTTACAATCCGCCTGCGGAGTAGTCTTAAATCCCCAATTCATTGACTGGTCCTGGAAGGTGAGCCATCGCTGGCCGTCGATGCGAAGATTGCGATCTTCCTTGTTGTCACCTGCTTCGAGGAGGAGGATGCGGGGTTTGGCGGCCGAATTAGCGAGGCCAGCGGCGAGGGCGCAACCGGACGGGCCAGCTACGAGATTCGTTAGATGGGGTTGATTTTGTGGATTGAGTGAATGGTTGGTTATTTTATTTTTGGGAAAGGGGATTAGGTGTCATTATCGAAGGTGGATTTTTTTTTTCCATTTGCGATAATGAGGCCCGTGGTGGTGGGGGTTAAGGGCCAACGAAGTTAGGGTTCAATGAAGATCACTCACTCCCGACGACGATAAAGTCAAAGGTGGACATATTGCGCAATGACCTGATGAGACGGTACAGATGTTGAATGGAGGTGAAATCAACCAAAAATACAAACAGCAATGAACGAACTTGAGTTTGAAAAATAGTAGTTAGGAGGGATGGAAGAATAAATAAATACGGAGAACAGCGGAGATGACAATAGGCGGGGATCTATTCCCAATGTGGTAATCTAAAGTATTCTTGAAGCTGAATAACGTCTTGAACAACCTGCTTCATGAATTGTCCAATGATAACCTTAGATGTTGGCTCGTATCAGATCCCCACAACGTCTGTAACGGTTTCGCAGCCCATGACCGAGGGTCGGGACATGTCCGCATGTGTCTCCCGTGTCGGGCACACGGATCGTCGGGCCCGCACCAATTATAGAGTCCGCTCCTCTCGTGGAGATCTTAAGCGAAGTGGATCAAGTGGATCTAGTGGGTCAGGGTGGATCTGATACAAATTTACATGGATGATCTTCCAGGGGGTTGACACCTACCTGGGTACCTAGGTAGTTAGCCTGACAAACTACCTAACTAGGTAACTAGTTAACTAGTCTCCGTAGTAAATCTTTACACTCCCGAGGGTTTCCAGTGGGCCGGGTCTGGCTGGATCCTTTCTTTTTAATTCCTTCCAACTCCCGCGTTCATCTTCAGTTATTCTGTGCTCTGCTTTGCTGAGGACTTGCAAAGAATGGCCGATAACGCCGAGGCATGGACATTGTTGTCCCTGGCTCTGGTTATAATCTCAGTGCGTGTCGGTGTACGATGGAAGCTCGTTGGACCGGCCAATTTCCAACTTGATGATTATCTTATGCCATTGGCTGGAGTACGTTGTTTCGACTGTCTTCTAATGACCATTGAAAGAAGTTACAATTGACATAATGTTCTTTCATAGGTCTTATTCGTTCTCGAAACAGTAGCGGCATATCTCGTCGGTGCCAAATTCGAGGGGCTGACTAACAGCTATATGACACCCGAGCAGCGGGCAACACTCGACCCCAATTCAACTGAGTGGTCCCATCGTGTTGCTGGATCCAAAATCCAGATCGTTGGATGGTCATTATACGTGGCTATTCTCTGGCTAGTCAAATTCAGCTTGGCAGTTTTCTACTCTCGATTGACGTGCGCTTCACACATCAACTTGAATATAATGAACCAATGCGCTAAGCATATTACAGGACTGGTCTCCAACATCTCCCCACGCGAGTTCGGGTCGGATATATTATTTTAGGTGTGACATACATAGCAACAGCATTGTCCCTCCTACTGTCATGCCAGCCATTCCATGCGTTTTGGCAGATTTATCCTGACCCCGGTAGTGAGTTTCACCGCCATCAGATATGATGACATTCCTATCTTACTATATTGCACAGATCTCTGTCAGCCAACCCACTCACGTGTTTATGTTTTCGTTGCCGTGATACTCAACATTCTCACGGACATCTACCTTCTCTCAATCCCTCTCCCCCTTCTCTGGACTGTTAACCTCAACCTGAAACGAAAGATCCCTCTTATGTTTCTCTTCTCCGGTGCCACTTTTGTCATGATCGCGGGTGTTATTCGGGCCGCTACGATTATGAGGGTATGTACCATAAAATAATAATATACCTCTGCAGAAACACGCACACCTATCACTTGCCATCTATCTAACACATATACTACAGTTAACCCCTGATGGCGCTGTATCTGGCTCTAAATGGGCCTGTCGTGAGACTTTTGTCTCAATCGTTGTCTCCAACCTGCCCATCATTCAACCACTTATCCGCAAGGGCTTTAGGAAGGTCGGTCTCTCCCACGTCTTCAGTTCCTCCGGGAAGACATCAGGACAGCCATATCAGCTCTCCAGTCGAGGTGGTTTAAAGACCTTGACAAACCGCGGCGAAGGCGATACCAAGAAGAGTAAGACGAACACTGCTGCACCAACTCATATGCAATCTTCCGCATGGGGCAGTGATGAGCATATTCTCGCTCAGTCTGAGCCTTCTTCGAAGGATATTACTGTGGTCTCAGAGACTGTTGTACACAGTGAGCCATGGAACCTCGAGGAAGGGTCCGGCGCGGCCTCCTCGACGACACCCCCGAAGGAATGGAGGAGTCAGTTGTCGCAACGATGAGAACGGCATATAACATGAGATGTTATACTTGTATAATCAGTTATTTTAGACCATTGATGAATACAGGATATAGATATGGGCCAAGGCGTATATAATTATGGGGTGGAATTTTGTGGATTTTAGCATGTGAGAACAATACCATTAATAGCGTTTCCCTCTATATTTCTCTGGTTTCTTTCTGCACATAGTAGTTTTCTTATCGAATTATAAAATTGCACACTACTTTTCCGTGGCCAGAATAAGTTTTCATATTATATATTTTTGCTGGTGCTGAAAATATTGAAATAGAAATGTTAATATTCACCGTATTTCATTAATACAAACTTCGCTTGCCACACGCGATATATATATCACCCCAAATCTTCTATCACTGGTCCACAAAATCCGTCGCATGCTCCTTATACAAAGTACTAGAATCCAAGATCTCTCCAGTAGAAGACCTCACAAAATCAACCTGCAAGTGCTGCTCATCCAAAAATCTAAGCGTGCTGTAGCTATAGTCATCGGCATAGGCAAACTCGGTATAAGCAGGCTTGCTGCCAATGGAGCTCAGACCCTCAATATTACCCGGACCTCCAGCAACAATATACATGGGCGCCTTAGGGTCCTTCATACCATTGGGATCGGCGGTACCATTAACAACAGGCGCAAATCGCTGCGAGTTGTGCACATGGCCAAAAACACCGAGGTCAACGCCGTACTGGTAAAACAGGCCTTCGAACGCCTCTTGGCAGGGACCGCAGACGTTCGACGATCCTCCTGTTGAGTACCACGGTCTGTGTCCAGCCACGATTACCCAGGGCGTGACAGAGCGGTCGACGGAAGCGAGATCAGCCTTGAGGAAATCGAGCTGCTGATTCGGAGTGCCGAATGGTCCACCGTTCAGCTTGGCGGAGCCATCTTTGCCGCTTGGTGCATTGGGGAAATCTGTTTCGGTATCGATCATTACAACGTGGGCCATGCCATATTCGAAGGAATACCAAAATGGCGGTTTTGAAAGGTTGCGGGCCGTTCGGGCTAGGGTTTGGGCTGTTTTGTTGGATGACGAGGAAACATAAGACTGCGGCATAGTTTTCTCGTAACGGTGCATGAACTCAGTGAAGTTGTTTTGGCCCTTAGGGCAAAGGCCGTTCAAGTATGGAATCTCGGAACAGTCTGCTTCGTGATTTCCTGGACTAGCCATGTAGGGCTTGCGGCCTGCGATTGGTGCGATTTGGTCGTAGAATTGTTCGATGATAGCCTCGTAGGCTTCTTTGCCATCGAACAAGTTTTGGAATTTGAGATACCAGTCGTCGGCGTAAGCGAAGTCTCCTGGGTGGATGATAAGCTCGTAATCGTCGATCGTTTTCGCGAGGCGACCAATTGTGGTGTGGTTTAGTTCTGGCTCGACCACTGGGATGGTGTCCTTCTTGGTGCTTTTGGATGTGAAGCCGTTTTTGCCGTAGACACCTAGATCAATGACCACATCCATGTTGAACGCGGTGTTATCGCCAGGAGTGCGAGGGCTGAGAAAATGGCCCACAGTCGAGTTGGTGGACTCGATCTTATAGTAGTAGGTTGTTGCGGGTGTCAGGCCTGTTAGGACAGCGACATTGGACCACGTCCTGGAGGGGTCGTAGGTGGTCGACGAAGACGAGCAAGCTTTGGTGTCCAGCTTGCTCTCTGACAAGCCATAACTAACGCAACTCTGCTCCAGCTGCCCATAGGTGTTCCAACCAACAGACACGGCTAGAGACGAATAAGTAAGTCCTCATTCAAATTCACCATATATAGCAGTCTTCTTACCATCCGGTCCATAAAGTGTCAATCGTTGTTGGAATGGTGTAGTCAAATCGGTCGGAATCTCAGGATATTTGACACCAGCAAAGGCGCAGCTAGCCACAAGGGGCAGCAGTTTGAGCGATGAGATTCTCCCCATGACCGAATAATGGTAATTTATTTACAGAATTCGAGATCTCAGCACTCTGTCACAAATGCTTCTTGATTCAGCTCTATATATAATTTCGTGCCTCGTGCCTCGTGCCTCGTGCCTCGTGCCTCGGTCCGGGAACCATAAACATCACATATTCGCGTTCATCATCCAAGGGCCAATCATGCCCGAAATGTAACGCACGTCGCTCATCCTGCAGATCGTTTTTATGCATTCTCACTTTAATCCACGAGTTTTGTTCGGCACAAAAAATCCACTACAGCGGTTTGGGTTTAGGGCAGATAAAATAGAGAGCGAAAATTCGGAGACCGACCAACTTTCGGCAACGGGTGGTTTAGATATCGGAGGTTATTTATTGGCCGACATGGCTTAGTGTTGCACGTGGTAACAACCTGACAGATCGGTTGGGTTCCCAGAGAATATTGTTAAATTGGTTTATATAAGTAACTTATCATATGATTGCTGATTCTATTTCTGAAGAGATATGCAAGAAATGCACTTGAAAATTAATGCATGTGGTATCTGCTACTAGAAGCTAACGGGGATGCATAAAAAATGCGGGATCCTCACTCTATTAACGACGGTATACATACTTCGCTGGTAATATATAGATGGATCTTAGTTTGGTCCCTGGGATAACTAGAAGAAAAAGAAGAAGACTTTCCACCCTCATAAACACGTGCAGAAATTATCTTTCTGGCCTGGCAGATCAGGCAGCAACAGCCATGCCGTCACGTGGTCTTGGTGCCGAACCTTTTCAGCCACATGCGTCCAGCCATCGAATCCTGCATCCCGCATCCCAGCTATCAGTGCCAGTAGCAATCGAGCAATCCACAAACGGTATCAGATATCGCCTTATTACAAACGATATGGCGTAGAAGCACCTAGACGACCAAACTCAAATACAACATTACCATAAACTGGTGTATCATCTAAGAATTTTACTATATTGATACAACTAGTTACGGAGTATATAACTTGATAGAAATCTGTCTGTTTTGAAATGTATAGGTACCACGGCTGATATTGAGAACTCTCTGTTTTTCTAAAATGACAAAACCCGCTATTTCAACAATCTGTGCGGTAATAATGACTAATCTGTAATATCCACTTTTGTATGGTATATCTAGTACTCGAAGTCACATGATCTCCATGGTATAATACCATGTAAATCCATGTATGCAACCTTGCACTTTGACATAACTAACTAACTATGGCTGATCTAAAGTTAACCCGAAAGTGCGAAAGATTGAACGAGATAAGCCTCTACCCAGTCCTCGCCAAGAAACTGGGTTAAGGGGGTGGATTTCTTGGCGAAGCCCGGCCACTGGGGAGCCTGGGGCGGGGATTGGCTGGCTTACTAATTTTCTACGAGACAAGCTTGGGAACCTTTAAAACCCGCCCAGAACGACATCTGCTGAATTCCCTAGTGACCTGGTTGGAGCCTTCTGACTCATTTCATGCTATATCGGGTGGATGGCTGAATACTATGGGTTCCAGTTCATGTGACTATTGGCAGCACTCAAACGCCGAAGGGCTGATTCATATGCCGATTTCTGTGACCAATTGCTGAAAAGGTTCATTATAGATTGTGGCTGGACGAAGCTATTGCTCGGCATTGCTCGGTAGTGACCCCCCACCTGGGGAATTCCCCGCCCCCATGTTGCTTTTTCCGACGCAATTCCCCATTCCCCCATTCCCCCAGCAGATATATGTATATATACTAGTAATTGGCCGATCCACAACCGGAAACTTAAAGAGGTTCCAACTGCGTACACATGGAATTCAGATATTTGCATCACATTGTGGCCGACTATAGCAGCTCGAGGCCGCGTATGCGCGTTTCCTACCTCCATATGCCCTGGATATACTTATCGAAAAACATACATCCATTCCAAGATTTTGTACATACTCTAGCGGGGCCCTCCATAAACCCGGGAATGTACATGAGGAGGAATGAGATCGTCAGCTTTTGTATTGTAACCATTTTTGGCATCAATACTCGGAGATTGTCCGGCTTCACTACATCCTGAAAAGCTAGCAAAAATAAATTCATATTCTAACCTCATGATACCACGAGTATTCGCATTGAATAGCACAAGCACATGCTCAGGAAATTCACCAAACCTGCAAGCTGTCAAATCACTCCATGTTCCATCCAGAGCGTTCAACACAATGTATACAGTCAAGCAGAGTCGCCCTAGTGACTTAACCTTGACCCCAAATCTTGCGCTAATCCCACATCCCCCGCGAAATTTCTTCCACCAATGGCGGACAGGTTCAACTTTGATTGCCGATTTTCGGCTTTTCAAACAATGCCTTTATATTATGCTAGTCGTCCTACGTGTTGTTACTGGTAAATCGTCACTCTTCAATACCGCCTCCACTGACTACACCGATTAATACCGATCTTGAATAAGAAACCCGGCACTTCGACATGGCGGACAAGAAGGAAAACCTCGCAGAGGTACTGGAGCCGCAAAGCGGACATGATGTCCAGCACATAGAGGAGAACCTCAAGGTGTCGGTGGCAGACAAAATCAACCAAGGAGAGGATAATGCATTATATCTTGAAGCAATTCAGAGATATCCTAACGATGAGGCCATCGATAAAGAGGCAGAAAAGAGGTTGAAACGGAAGCTTGACATGCACCTCATTCCACTTCTTGGCATATGCTACTTCTTTTACGTATGTTGGTCGTCTCAAGCTTGCTATATTCAGGTCACAGCTAACGTCATCCACCTCTAACAGTATGTCGACAAGACGACACTTTCGTACGCAGCAATCTTTGGCATCAAAGAAGACCTCCATCTGTCCGGTTCAGAATACTCATGGCTGTCAAGTATCTTCTACTTTGGATGGTTAGTTTGGGCAATCCCGTCTAACCTCCTCATGCAACGCAGCCGGATGGCTTGGTATCTCGCCTTCAATATCTTCATGTGGGGCGTGGTTCTCATGTGTGAGGCTGCATCACATAACTTCGCCACACTTGCGGCACTCCGGATCATTTCCGGCGCATTTGAGGCGATTGCTGACCCTGCATTCATGCTTGTCGTCTCTACATATTATACTCGCGCCGAGCAACCTTGGCGTATTTCGGCATACTATTTATGGAATGGTATTGGTATCGCCGGCGGCGGGCTTATTGGTAGGTTTCATTCATTGTTGTACTGAACTGAGTAGCATCCGCTTATTGTAATATTCAGGATACGGGATCGGTAATATCAAAGGTGGTCTTCAATCCTGGCGCTACGAGTTCCTCATCATCGGCGCCGTTTGCGCTGCCTGGGGAATTGCACTGTGTCTCCTATTGCCTAACTCGCCCGCAACATTCTGGGGCTTCAATCGTGATGAGAAGCTCATTATGATTGCGCGACTGCGATCCAACCAAACCGGTATTGAGGGAAGGAAAATTAACTGGGGTCAGGTCAAAGAGGCGTATCTCGATTATAAGACTTGGCTATTCACCATCTTGGGTTTCCTTGCCAACGTTCCAAACGGCGGAATCTCCAACTTCTCCACTTTGGTCATTCAAGGTCTCGGGTTCGATACACTCAATACAGCACTCCTTGGGATACCCCAGGGAGTAATCGTGGTCATTTGGATTGTGCTTGGAGGATACGCAAACCAATACATGCCGAAGAATAGCCGTACTCTAGTCTGCGCACTATTCATGGTCCCGACTATTGCGGGTGCCCTGGGTTTCCTGCTTGCCCCCGACAATGCATACGTCGGCCGACTGATCTGCTTGTAAGTCGATCTAACTGATCTTTTTATATTAAAAAGCCGTAACTGACCAACCCCTTAATATCCAGCTATCTTACTGGGTCATATCAAGCCTCCTTCGTGATATCCCTTTCCCTTGTTACCTCCAATACCGGTGGGCAGTCTAAGAAAATGATTGTATCCGGTATGATATGGTTTGGAGCATGCATTGGCAACATTGCTAGTCCCTTCTTTTATAAATCTGAGCAAGCGCCGGCATACCCCTTAGGCATTGGCTCTCTGCTGGTTGCTAACTGCCTTGAGCTCATGCTTTTCTTTGTGCTCCGCTACGCCTTTATCTGGGAGAACCGACGAAAGGAGAAGATGCGCGACGAATTACGGGAGAGAGACGAGTCCGAGCCGGCGGCCGATTCCACGGCCTTCGCTGATTTGACTGATACACAAAACCCGAATTTTGAGTACGTATATTGAAGGGGAAAGTGATACGGTACAACTATGCTCTCTTATATGATAACTCCAGGTCTAGCTTGGAGTGTTGACGCGGACAATGTAAATCCAGGGGATAGGTATACACATAGATAATTTCATCGTAGCGACGTCCAAATATGCAAAACAACAGGGTCAGATAAAGAAAGGTCCTCCCTCATTGGGTGGACTCCAACATACATTACAATTTATTCCAGACGACCCGTATCCTTTGTTTAGTATGTCTTGTCCCTGCCCATGGTCAAACAAGATCACCTCGCAAAGTATCAGGACTACAAATCGGGTCAATTGGAAACAGGTCAGTCATCCCTGCCCTATATTGAGCTAGTAAAACGCATATATAAAAATAGAACAAAAACATACAACAGCATGTGTATGACCGTGGTCACCTAGCGCCCACGGTTCGGGCGTGGGCGGCTCGCCGCCCTATTCAGGGCACTTAGGGCAGATATTCAGCCCGTATAGCAAAAGGTATATTTTGTCACGTCCTGCACCATGCAAAGCAAGGTGCAGAACCCGCCTGGACCTGAGATGGCACCTTCAAGGTGGACCGTCGAAGGTCTTCGGGGACCTACGCAGACATATCAATGGCCTACGAGATATATGGGTCCAATATATATGATCTCGCTTAGGTTGCGCACATTGCATAACTAGTAGATTCGGAACTATAAATAAGGGTTTATAGTTTAGTTTGAATATATACGTAGTGCTAGTTACAATTACTTCGTAGTAGTGATTCCGTATTATATATGCCTTTAGTACTCTAATCTTACCC